GTTAATTCTTTCTAGATGACTTTTCCCTCTAAATTTGCTCCCTTGAAGTTTGAGATTGCTCAATTTTAGTAAAAAAAAAACACAGACATCCTAGTGATCTCTCCGTAAATAGCACTTAAAAGAAAATGAAAGTCTGCATTTTTGAAGTTGTTTTCTTGATAGCTTGTTAAAATTAGTAGTAATTCATTAATTGGGTTGTTTTGTTTTACAGAATTTAGAAAAAATTTTTTTGAAAAGGGGTGTGGAGAAATTCAACTTCCTCCATGTATTTTTTGACAAATAGCGACCACTCTTAATTGTCAAGGATTGTGTTTTACTTTTATTCCTTCATTCCGAAAAGACTCCATAATCAGCACAAATACCATTAGAGAGAAGCCACTTCCTATTAACACTTAAAGAGGTTTCTTCTGTCTTAATTTCTACGGCAAGTAAACAAACAACAATCACTTTCACTGTTGTGAAAATCTAAAGAGCCAGACAGCATCCTTCTCCAACTGCTGCTCCTTCTGGTTGTATCAATGGTGTCCCCTCTGCTGCTCCAAGTAGGGCTTTTCAGGCCACCAAAGGACAGCAGGACATCCAGGATGCCATTCTCCACCCCCTCCTGAGAGCCAGTGGTCACAAGCCTGTGCTCCGTTCCACACTGGTAGCATCCAGGTGGAATTTAAAATAGAATGGATGAGGACCCAGTTATGTGAAAAGTCACCTCTGGTCTTCTGTTCCATCACGGCAGTTAAGACCAGCTGCGGTGCTTCTGGTATCAGTTTCCAGCACATAAGTCTTTGTGATCTGCAGCAGAAATTCTTACAACAGGGCCCTTAGAAGTCTCGTCCTCTGATGGGCTGCCAAAGGCAGACTCCAAGGCGTATCTGTGCAGGCAGAATTTTTGCTGAGTTTCCCAGGGACTGAGAGAAAACTACCAGAAGGAGCAGCCTCCCCTGGCTTCTACAACTAATAATCTACAATTTTCCTGGGTAGGAGGTGGGATTTATTCCTGGCCAGCTACTTATCTTGGTTCAACTGGCCCAGCTGGTCAGAGATGACCAAGATCAGAGATTTGGTCTCTCAAAAGAGCTTCCTTGAGTGAAATGAATAGCTCCTCTGGCTCTCCCTCCTAAATCCCCCTTTCCAGGATGTAGCTCAAAATACCTTACTCCTGCTAGGAAAACAAGTTCAAGAACCCTCCTTGCAGGATCAAGGAGCTAAGATGCTTCAGTAATCTGTGCAAACTTCTTGGAGTCACATCTTGCTTCACTGAACAGCATTAATCAAATTCTAAGAAGCTGGACTCAGATCATGAGATGGTATAATATCAGCTCCCATTTTAGGAACAATTAATATTATGATCTTTACAACACGTTTTAGATATGGTCTCCTGAAATTTAGAAAGCTTGCAGAACACAGTAAGCACCAGATTACGTTCTAATGGCCAGTTCATATTTTCTTCTCTATCCAATTACAAAACCAAAAATAATGAGGCTCTTGCTTGCTGGGAAAGAAATAAACAATTTGAAATGGGTAGTTGTGTGCGTGTTTGGATTTGACCCATCATTTACTTTCTTCTTCAACTCTAAATAGAGAGCACAACCCTTACTAATGATAGTAGAAATGAACCACTTCAAATTAAAAGATGCACATTAGATTATGAAGGAACCCCCCACTTTCATATTCTAGGATAAAGAAGATATCTGCAACTTCTTATTTCATCTTCTAAATAAAATTTCATGTGACCTGAGAAGATTATAATATATTTTAAAACTCAACCATCTTAAAATATTTCTGCAAATAAAATAATTCATTTTAATTGAAACCCAGAAGCAAAAGTGGCACTGAAGATACAAGATAGGGGTCAAAAAAACTCAAACCTGTGCTCCCCTAAGAACTAGGGCCCCTCTCTCACGTAGACAAACCCAGTGGCTAAGGTTTCCTCCTCCTAGGAGTGCAAATTCACTAGCAAATGCAGTCCCCTAGCCCATCACATACATGTACCCAACCACACATAACCACATGTACCACTTCCCTCCCTCTGGCCCTATGGGAACTCCAGTAAGAGATTCAGATCCAGAAGAGAGCTTTTGATCATTTGACACGTGAGAAAACTGAGGATCAAAATGGAAATTGATTGCCCGAGATGATAACCTGCTGACTGGAAGCCCAGTCACCCAGCTCAGCCTGGAGTCCTTTCCCCTGGTCCGCCCAGCCCACCAAACCAGACAGCAAAGAATGGGGAAACAGGGGGCCTCCAGGAAGCCTGCCATCGGCCCCTGAGAGCCCTGACTGCAGGGAGAACCCCTCAGGAGACCGACCCGTGTGGTTTTTGTTTATCTTCAGAGAACAGAACAACTCCTTCCACAGAGAGGTCTGTGAACTGTGATGTAAAGATCCACGGGACACAAAGAGAAATGTAGACCTTGAGGGCCAGGGGCCTGGGATTTGGTCAGGGGAAAAAAAAAAAAGACCTTTTAAATTAGGTTCTGCAGCAGAACATTGTAGTAGAAAGAACAAGGCCTCCAAAATAATAAGATCGAGTTTTGATTCTACTACGTTCTAGCTGAGTGACTTTCAGCAAGTTTCTCAATCTCTTCAAATTTCTTTCTTTATCTATAAAATGAGTACCCATTTGGGAGGGGGTTGAATCTATGTGCGGAGAGACAAGAGAGTCAGACAGAGAGACAGTAAGAGACAGAACGCCAGGAAAGAGGGGCACATAGGCTCTCAATACCTGAAGTTCACAACACCTGACACAAAACAGGCACCCCAGTGTCTGCTCATCGAGTGATAATCCTTCAGCTGGACCCACTCCTGGAAGTAAGTCTCCTTTGCTTTAGAGGTATGACCACAATGACCCCCTAAGGCCCTAGACCATACAGAAGAGACACAGGACCACTCGAGGCCTGAAACTCTGTCTTGGATTTGAAAACAGTTGACCCAGTGATTTTAGACTCTAAGAACAGAACACTGAGTGCCCCTTTAAAGGTTTATCTGGATGCCCCAGGCAATGCTTGAGCCTTAGAGTAACAACAAAGGCAACATTCAGGTGACCTCCCACCCCCCTCCCAAACTAGATTAAGTAATCCTTGCGGGTGTGTTCCCTGCACACCATACTCCCCCTGGCTGTGGTTACCTGCCCCTTTGTCTGTCTTACCAGCTGGGCTGTGGACTCCCCTGCCATTGAGCTCAGTGCTAACCTCACTTTTAACCCATAATAGAGGCTCAGTATATCATCCTAAAGGAAAAAAATTAAATCCAGCAACTTCCTTAAAACATCTACCATCGTTGGCTTGAAAATCAACCTAAGTATTCATGTTCTCCACTCCCCCAGCGCCTCCCCAGTTCCCTTGTGGAGGAAGCCACTTCTCCTGTTTCACCATTGAGGCTGCTTAGGTTTCTGCTTGGGATGTTCGTCGCCATGTTAATATGTTCAGTAATTGTGTTCAAAACTGGCATCTCATATGCTGGGCCCCATGGCAGGGGTACAGCGGGGAGCGCTCCGTGATCCCTCCTGGAGAGGCTCACAGAATAAACTGAGCTTGGATGAAGGCTCTGATTTTCAGAGAGGCCACTAGCCATTAGCCAAAATATTTCTGGATCAGTAACTACACCCTATCATCAACTTGACTCTCTAAAAATTACAATGTGGCTTTAGGACCTGGTACATAGTGTTCACTCAATAAATATTTGTTGGATAAAGAAATGAATGGGATAGGATGGGGATTTCAGGGAGCTTTTACAGCTCTGAGCCGATATAGGAGATATGCAGCAAATAAAATCCTTTATTTGAGGATAAAACAAATAACATAAGTCTTTAATTTTGGTAAGTCTGGATTTCAGAGCCCACAAAGCTGGTATTCTCACCCTGAGAATCTGCTAACACTTGGGAAGTCCTCTGAGGAGACCTCTCAGAAACATTTCCCGGCACCACTTAGGTGAGACAGGGCTTTAAGCATGGCCCACCTGCCTTCAGAGTTCTCCCAAGGGAGCTTCTGGAAAACCCTGGTTTACTAACCTTCCTAAACTGCCAGGTAGCAGAACATTCTCCTGCTTCCAAACTCTTTGGCTCTTAAGAGTATCTCACTGGACTCTATACTTTCCCTTAGTGATAATCTTGAATTATTTTGTTTTAGACTTGTCTCCTTGGCTGGTTTGTGCCCTAAAGGGAAGGGATCTTGTCTTTATAGATTCCCACAGTACTGGACACACAGTAGGTTTTTCATAAGTAAATTTTTAAAATCTGTCTTCAGTGTGTAGCCCTGTCCAAGGTCTCCAAGAAAGACATAATGTGGATCGCAGAGAAGGCTAGTTTCACTCTCTCTCTCTCATTCTTTCTCTTCCCTCTCTCTTCTGACAGTGCTCTCAAGGACTGCAGAAAATAAGACAAACCCAGAAAACGAAAAAAAAATCACATAATACAATTTAAACATGGTAGATGAGATGCTAGCCTGGAATCGTCCCTTTCCAAAGAAGTAAATGTCTGCACAGAGGATGGCGATCGCAACCTTCGCAGTAATTCACCCATTCTATAAAGTCTCCAGACACGTTGAGACCTCAAACAGGGTGTTGAAAGGTCAATTTGTTTGGTACCAACTCTGACTCAAAAAGATTATTCTCCTGTGAGGAGACGGAGAGGAAAGAAACAGGCAGTGAGATTTTCCAGCCACTCCACCCAGATTACTCCAGATGCGACCAGAGTGGGTGGAACTCAAACATCGCCCATTCAACCCACGCCTTCACCCAGGGCTGCTAAGGGAGAAGCACCCCTATCAGTCTCTGGATTGAATCAATACCCCTCTGGCAGAGACCCGCTCTCAGAAGCCAGTGACAGGAGGAAAGGTCAGGGGCAGGATCCGGGCGCGCCGTCCGGGAGCAGCGGGCCCTAGCGCCCCCCGCGGAGCCCGCTCTCAGCCAATGGGAGCCCGAGGTCCCGGGATGATGAGATGCGGGGCCGCCGCTGGGCCAATCAGGCTCCAGGCGCGGCCAAGGGGAGGAGATGGGAGGAGAGTCCAGGGGCGATGGAGACAGAGCTACAGCAACAGAAGTTTCTCACCTTGGAATGCGAGGGACGCTCCCGCATCCCCTGCACCTCTCCACCTCGGCGTTGTAGGAGGGCCCCAAACTACTTTCTCCACCTCCTCACCCTACTCCCAGCAAGCGAGGAGAAGGCAGCTGAGAGCCCCTACCACGGCTGGCCTTCTTTTTACGTTGTCTGCGGGGAGAAAGGGTGCAAGGGACAGCTTGGTGCTGGGGAACTGACCTCTGGTCTGGTGGGCTTCTGGCTGGGGAGGGCCGAAGAGGAGTGGCTGTGGCTGGGGGACTCCATGCGGGGGCCATGGACAGAGCCGCGCTCCTGGGACTGTCCCGCCTGTGCGCGCTGTGGGCAGCCCTGCTCGCGCTGTTCCCTTGCGGAGCCCAGGGAAACTGGATGTGAGTATAGCGGCAGCAGGGGCGCACGGGGTTTGTGGCAAAAGGGGTGCCCAGCCTCCGAGAACTTTCAGCTGAAGCAGAGAAGGAGAGGCGGGGACCCTAGGGCCGTGACCTAATTTTCGGGTAAACGTCTGGGATTGGGGAAGAGGGCAGGGCAGCGGCTCACGTTAGGGGAGGCCGTGTCTTACAGGTGGTTGGGCATCGCCTCCTTTGGGGTCCCGGAGAAGCTGGGTTGCGCCAGCTTGCCGCTGAACAGCCGCCAGAAGGAGCTGTGCAAGAAGAAACCGTACCTGCTGCCGAGCATCCGCGAGGGCGCCCGGCTGGGTATTCAGGAGTGCAGGAGCCAGTTCAAACACGAGAGATGGAACTGTCTGGTGACCGCCACCGCCCCGCCTGGCACCAGCCCTCTCTTTGGCTACGAGCTGAGCAGCGGTGAGTCCCGGGACCGTGGGGGCTGGCGCAGGACGAAGGGCGACAAGCCCTTCAATTCTTGTGAAGAAAGAGTGCTTGCGAGGCCCCGTCTTTCTCTAAGTCCCCAAAGAGGTCCTTTAGTGGAAGGGAATTAGGGAGGACGGAAGTCAGACCCGGGTGCAGGTGCGCTCCTGGAGGGCTGACTCCCCAGCTCCAGAGCAAGGAGCGTGGAGCTGTAGCTCTTCCTCCTTCCCGCGGCGCCGGGCTGGAGTTGGAGAAAAACTCCTGACACTCCACCCCGCCGACCCCTAGGACCCCGTAGCGCCCCCCACGTGGGTGACCAGCTGGAGAAACATGATGTCGGCAGCAGGGAATGCCGCTGGTGCATCTGCTTTGATTTAAGCAGCTCTGCTGCGCACCGAGCCCTGGACAAGTGGCTAATTGCAGTGAAGCCCCACGTTGGTTGGCTCCTCGGAGCACCGGGTAGACGGAATAATGGCGATTTAAAGGGATTGTCCTGGACAGCCTCACGTGAGGTTGACTCGAGCAGGACTGCTTTGCTTCTCCGCTCTGTTCTTGTGCTTCTGCCTTGTCTCTCCTGTGCGCATACTCGCGGCGCGGGAAGCTGCTGTAAAACAAAGTTCCACCTCCACGTGCCTAGCGACTCGGTGAGGATAAAGGTAGAGAGATATCAGCAGATTCAAAGAATTTCAGGACCTTGGCGTTGAAAGATTCGTTGTTGTTTCTCACGTTCATTTCCGTACACCCTCCACCTTTGACCCTTCCCCACGGGGTCCGTCCACTCACCGCCGCCAAGGCATCGCTTTTGCCCCGCTGCGCTTTGGCCGGCACACCCTTCCGAAAGAGTCCTGACTCCCCGCAGGACAGAAAGAAAAAAAAAAAAAAAAAGGAAGAAAAAGAGGATGTGTTGTTCACAGTTGCTGAAATGCAAAGGCATCAGCTGTTGAAAAGTTCTATTGGACAACGGCCTAATAAGGTTTCTACTCCAATTTAAGCACCGCCAAAGAAAAAGATACCTGCTGAGTGCCTTCTAGTCCATTTTATTAATGTTTTAATGGGTCTTTAATTTTCAAAGATTCTAGCTCAAACTCTTGCAGGTGTGCTAAATCCATATTCAATAGTTTTCTGTAACAATTCTTTTTCCTCTGATGACATTTCAATTATCTTTCATTGTCTTTACTACTGTCAGGATATAATACTGCATATAGGAATATATATAGTATTTAATTTGCATATTAATATTGTTATTCACATTATCCTAAAACAATCCATCTTTGATGTGAAAGTAAACTGTAACAATTACCTCCTAATTGCTACGGTCTTGGCATACTTTTAACTTGCATTCTGACATGTATTCTTTATACAAACAAAAGTCACATCAAGTTTTTCAGCTTGTGTTTTGCGATAACATATTTTAAATTTAAAGAGAAAAGTAAGGCAGTTGGGCATTGGTATCCATGCAGGGGATTTTAAATTCAACGTGCATTTATCAGACTTCTGTTGTCTATTAAGTGCTGAGTTGGGTGCTAACATACACTTCAAATTTTAAAAATGAACCTGTGATTTTAAGGTATGAGGAAAATTTATGACATAGGAAAAGCATACTGAAAATCAATGTTGCTTTTTTTAAAAAGGTAAGAACAATATGAACTTGTCCTTTCAAAATATGTACTCATTAAAGCATCCGTTGTAGGCAACTGAAAAATTGCTTCCCTGATAAGAGGACAAGTAGGAGGCTCTGTTATGAACATAAACAGAGAATGGTATGGCTCTTCCATTTAGCAACTTATGTTTTGTTCTAGGCACCAAGGAAACTGCATTTATTTATGCTGTGATGGCCGCAGGCCTGGTTCATTCTGTGACCAGGTCATGCAGTGCAGGCAACATGACCGAGTGTTCCTGTGACACCACCTTGCAGAACGGCGGCTCAGCGAGTGAAGGCTGGCACTGGGGGGGCTGCTCTGATGATGTCCAGTATGGCATGTGGTTCAGCAGAAAGTTCCTAGATTTCCCCATCAGAAACACCACCGGAAAAGAAAGCAAAGTACTATTAGCAATGAACCTGCATAACAATGAAGCTGGAAGGCAGGTATGTATTAGAAAACGGAATAGAAATCCAGTTTCTTTAAATAGCACTAGGATTACACTTCCGGATCAATCTGTGAGGCCAAATGGTTTAAAAAACAAACACTGGCAGTCTGGAAATGTATATGTAAAGTTGTATATGTGTGTGCTTATTATATAAGTGCAAATATACATATATATTCTTTCATAAGCCTGTACTAACCACATTGATTTAGTTTAAATTTTCAACTGATGGAAGTTGAATTATAGATGTATCTGTGGTTGTATATTTCATGTGCCTGAAACACCAGTTATAAAATTGGATGTATAAGTGCCTGTTGGGTCATTTGGTTCCACCCACTTAGCTGGTTAGTTGCAGAGTCAGAACAAGATCTACAGTATCTGCCTTTATAATGGGATTGCGTCAAATTTCATTTTCTCAAATTTGAGTTTTCAGTATTGTTTAAAAATCTATTTTTAGCTGGCAGTGGCAACTAAAGGAGTTATCAGTTTTGTCCTCAGTTTCTCTAGTGGACATTCTTGAATACATTAGATAACACACAATATTTTTGTAAAACAAAATTCATTTAAGGGAAGTAGTTATTTTATTATAAAGCAATGAAGACTCACTGTAAAAACTGACAAATACCGATAAATGTAAAGAGGCTAGAGATATATTAAATATATAGATATTTTAAAGTATAGGTATATTAAAGAATTAGGGAGAGGAAAATTTGAAGAATCACCATCTAATTAACCTCTTATGAATTTACTCCACTTTTTTATACTGAATTTTCTTAAATCAGAGGAGATTTATAGCTTCATTTAACTTTCATATGTTTCCCTTAATGAATATTGACGCAGTTAGGTTTGAGTTCTACAATATAGTTGAATTACTTGGCAATTCATAGTGACTTTCCAAAAACAGTCAAAACCTTTCTTAGGAATATATTTGTTCTATTTTGTAATAATCTTTTCAGGATGAGAATATCACCACATATCTTATATTATTGTAACTATCCAGTAACTTAAAATGGTCCCAAAGTAGTCATTGCAATCTACCACATTCTCCTGCAGTAAATTAAAACGAGTTGCGGTATCTCTCAGGAATATTTAAAGTATATGTTGCATTTGTTTTACATTTTTGGACAGTGAATAAATGGAACCCACTCAGAATAGTTGCAGGTTTCAGCTGGTTTTCTTTATTTAATCACTGTTTAAAATACAAAGAGCGAAAATTCAATGAATATATCACCGACCGTAACACTTCAAATTCAAATTTGAATATCGATTCAAAATTGAAAATTAGAAAATAGGAAAGTCAAGAGCCATGTAAACTTTCACATTTTTGCTTAGAAATTTTAAAAGTTACTGAAGTAATTCTTGCTAACACCACGGTTATGGGCATGTCTCTTCTCCTTGAAGTTTTATATTAAAAAAATTAAACAAATAAGTTTTTACTTCAATTTACATAAAATCTAGTAAAGGAATTTTTGTTATTTCTCATATAGTAATGTAAAATAAATTAAATATAATTAACATGTTCTTCAAAACTCTAAAGATAAACTAAAGAAAAACATCAAGTCAAATTAACATATTTAAAAAACAAGAAAGCAATTAAATAAGTGTTTATTATCAGTTTAGACCTTAAATTTCCTTTAGTCATTCTTTAAGTAATTTGGTAGAGATTAAAAAGACCTGAACCAGAAAACAAAATTTGAAATTCATGTTATGATTTATTCTTTTGAATCAAGTTATCCGCAAACTTATGAAAAGCCCTGCAGTGTTGTAAAATGTATTTTTATTAGTAATTTTAGGCAGCTATTTAGTTTTATTATGTCTTGTGTCTTTTTTCCAATTAAGTAGCAATATTTGCCTCTGTAAACTATTAACTTTGATCTTCAAGTATTATATTCTGATTTATTAAAAACAGAACTATTGAGCATCAATCTTCATACACTGTCTGTTGGCAATAAAACAATCTCCTCACATTACTGAGGTTTTTGCTATTATTCTGATTGTGCAGAAAAAAATTCAGCCTGTAGGCATATACACACTATGTAAATTTCAGCATTTTCTCTACTTGAGTCTTTTTTTATTCACATTGGTCTAGATGGAAACTTAAAATATTACAAAATATTACCTGGATATTTTGAGGGTACTAAACTGATGTTTTTGTTGGTCTTTTCTCATGAAGTATTACAATCCAAAACATTTTAATATTTTTCTTTCCACTAGTGGCTAAAAAAAAAAAAAAAAAAACCCACTACCACCACCGCAACAACAACAAAGATCAAACAGGTTTCCAAGGTATTATCTAACATGGAAGAACGATCAACCACATTTTCAATATTGGCAATTAGGATTTTAAGCAAATAGGCATATTCTTCCGAGTAAGGTTCAAGGTCTGCATTCAATTGAGTCGATTTTCCTCGTCTCAAAATCCCAAACTCAAAATGTAGGAACGTGTTCAGAGAAATGTGGGTACTGGCGCTTAGTAGTGCTGTGAGCAGGACAGATGATTTTCAAACCGCTGACCTTAAATACTCTAATTCCCACTTGGTTTCTGACACCATTCCTAAAGTTATGACTCCAAGAATAATGTTGCCGAATGGTGATTGGTTAACAGAGTGATGTGATGTCTTCCAGGGGCAGTACTGCTGGGAATAATGTGACTTGGAATATTTATGGCTATTTCTTTTGGTGTGCTTAAAATATTTCCATTCTTCCCATGTCCACCTCATAAACTTTTAAGTTTCCCTACCCCATAATTTGTTTTATGATGAGTAACTCAAAAAAGTGGGATGGGCCCAACCCCAAAATTTCATTGACCTGTTTCAAGAATATTTATAAGTACTTGAACAACACATCAGTGTTCTGCTTTTCAGCAGGTTCAAATATATTTTTGGATCAAAAGAGGCAAAATGAATCCGAGGAATAGAAATTCTACATACAGCCATTCAACCTATGTCACCATTTTCATAAAAACTTAAACAGATCATCTGATAGTTGACAAAATGAAATGTCACAAAATGTTCCAATAACAACTTTTTTTTTTTGGTCATTTCTGTAAAGTTTGGATAAAGCAATATACTGGAAAACAATCACTGCCTGTTCTGTTACCTCTGAGTCAAAACTGCGGAACCAATCGCTCCTTAGACCACTTCTCAAGCAGTTTCTATTTTCACATTAAGTATTAATGATAAATCTTTCCTATTTCACTCCGTCCAAAATTTATCAAACCAAAACTTAGCACAAGGAGCCCAGTAGATTAAATGCTAGGCTCCTAATTGCTCTCCCATAGTTTAAAATATTAAACCCAAATGTGCACATCTGTTTGCAATAGTTAACAAAACATTCCTCTGTTAATATCGTTATAAACCTTAACAACTCAACTAAGTAGAGAAAGGAATTTTCTCATAACCACACACAACTCATTCGCTTGCTATTCTCTTACTTTTCTCGTTAGAAATTGTGCTATCACTGCGGCTCAAAATGGCTACTTGACATTCATTAAGAATCCTAACTGAAAAACTCCAGGATATATTATTTTGGAGTGTTCATGCAATTTTCTTAAATATACTTGTATTTTCCACTTTCATTTCTCTCCGTTCTAGCAAAATTATTCTGCTGCATAAAAAGACTTTATTTATATCATATATCACCAACTCTCCTTACGTAAGACGAATGTCTTAACCAGGCTATTTATTTTTCTGTAAAATTGGAATAATAAGCAAGTACATATTCATTGACTACCTACGATATGCAAGGCATTTCTTCCTTCAAAACTAAATTAAGTAAAATAATTTATGAAAATGTGCTCTGAGAAGCACTAAGCTTTGCAGAATCAAACTGTGTGTGTGTGTGTGTGTGTGTGTGTGTATCTGCATGTTATCTCCCCTTGAGCTGTGTATCTCACCAAATTCTCCTAGTGGTGATTGCATTGTTTTATTTTATGCCTATTTGTCCAAGTTTCTTCCTTGAGTGTAACACGGGTATAATCATTTAACTTGCATGTCAAGTTAATGGGATGCTTCTCCTTGGAGGAATCCACTTGTCTTTCTCTCCTAGAATATATATATGTGAATAGTATTCACATATATAATAAAAATACTCCTTTTCTTATTAAAGACAGAAATGTAATGAAATTGAAAGATAATAGAATAAAATGTCTTAATATCTTCTCTAGAAAGTTTAGTTAACTCCAGGTATTTAAAAGTTTCTAGTTTTCTATGGCAGGAAAATCTTCCCAACATTCTGATACGAATTCAGCAGGTGATATTCCTTATAACATCAGTCTTCTCTGTTATCCTTCAAACCTGTGCAGTAGTGTGTCGCTCTTGTGGACTAACACTGTTGTGGGCTGAGGAATTAGAGGAAAACACAGCCACATCACGATCTCCCAATACCATCGACTTCCAGGCAGGAACTCTTTTGCTTAAGATGGTATTTTTTTTCATCATGTCCTCCTGATTCAGATTATACCTATAGAGGATGAGTTAGAACTGTTCAAGTCAGCAGGACAAACTAATGAGTGTTCGGTGAGCATCTATTCTGTCCTCCACGCTTTGCAAATTGGTAACATTATACATGATGTCTGAACTAGTTAATAAAACAAAAACCTTCTAAGTCAAAAATCTGAGTGAGATGCAGCTTTAAGTCACTAAGTGATGACTATAATGAACGTAGATGCGGTTTAAACACGTAAACATACATTCTTCGATTTTTGGCTCTCTTTGGACAATTTGTTTCGTTGTTACCTAGCGTTGGTTGAGCTCTCTTCTTCTTACGTCTTTCAGGCACTTAAAATCTGAACAAAAGTAAGTAGTTTTCGTTAATTTGAGCATTTATTTGCCTGGTGACATTTTAAAGAATTGAAGGCTGTGACTGTCAAATGCCATAAATCTAACCAAATAAGCTTGTGTGCCATACTTCATAAATTGTTTTCATGTCATTGAAAGATAACTTTTGGCTGAGATAATAAGAAATAGACACAGCTACTTGCTTCTTAGTTCCATGAGTTCAAAAACAGCTCATGTGCTGTATTCTGTAAAGAACAGTGTTTAAATGTTATTCCATTTATTATTTTAAACACGAATAAAAATTATTGAATATTACACAAATCAATACCATATGCTGTCATTCAAGACTACGCATATAATAAATTGTTTGAATATTCTGTCTCATTTAGATAGTCCAGAAACTTTAATTTGTTAGGAAACATAACATTCCACAAACATTGACATGTCAGGTTTGGTACAAAATAGCAAAGTATAAACCCCTTGTCATTTTAGAGTTTTGATAAGAACTGTAAGTGGAATTTAAGCCGTAGGGTTTTCCTTTCTTTGGTGAGATTACACACATGATTTCTAAGCTATTGAATGGGTAGATCCTTTTTTCATTTTATCCAACATGTTGACAGGACATCAACTCTACAGTTAGTCCTGACGATATATTAATCTGTTCTGCCATCCTCTGGGGACTGAAGGAAGTTATGCTGACTAGCCTGGTGTGTAAGAAATTAGAACTCTAAAACTTGAAATCTCTGTATTGGTTTTGCCCCATCTAAAATTTTATCTTAACTCTTTCTTCTTCAGAGAAAGGTGGGGGGGGCATTTATTTAGACCTTAAATGTGTGTCAGGCAGTGGACTCTTACAGATAGATGTATATAATCTCATTTAATTCCTCAGCCTGGATAGACTAACTCCACACTTAGAATTGAAAAATCATATAAATATTATCCCTTTTCTATGTTAGTATGGTGCTACTGATCCATACAGAATAGGACATATGTTTTGAATTAATTTTCTAGAAATGAGAAAGAATTTGGTGGGAGCAATCACACTCTGCAGCACCCTCTTTTTTTGATTAGTCGGGATTTCTCATATGGTCTGTGACCCGGGGTAGCCTGTCTCCCCAACCCCCTGTGAATGTAACTGACTTTAACAGCGATCAAACCTGGGAACCCTCAGTTCAGCAATTTCATCCTTGGATGCCCTTCCAAATCATCTGAGCAGTTTTGTGGAAGTATCATTGCCTGGACTCAACCCAGACCAATTAAATCAGAATCTCAGGGGTTTGAGCATCAGTTATTTGTAAAGTTCCACAGATCGTTTCTATGTTCATACAAGACACCTGAGGATCTTATTAAAATGCAGATTCTGATCCGGTAGTTTTGGAGCGGGGACCCCGAGATTCTGCATTTCTCACAAGTGATGCTGGTTCTGCCGGTCCCTGAACCACACTCTGAGTAGCAAGGTACTGAAACAAATGGTATCACAAACATGGAGGCATGCACGAACATCCTCTCACACCCAAAATTAAACAAGTGATTAGGGAAAAAAAGTAGTTCCCTTTTGTTACCGCAGATAATCTCTAATAACAATGTTACGCTGGAATGCTACTTTAAAATAGACTCAAAACGGCTCTGCAGTGTCAACAGAAGGACAAAACATTTGAACCCTAAGCAATCTAAAAGATCCTTTATGTCCAAAACCATCGTTTTTTTGAAACAATTTATTTTACTTTATTTTTATTGAAGTCTATAACCATTGTTTTTCTACAGGAGGAAACAGACACAGAGTTAAGTGATTAGGTTAGTCGTGCTTCTGTTGAGTAAAACAATTTGTTAATGATGTTTAACGCGATTCCTGTTGGTTTCAGGCTGTCGCCAAGTTGATGTCATTAGATTGCCGGTGTCATGGAGTTTCTGGCTCCTGTGCTGTGAAAACATGCTGGAAAACCATGTCTTCTTTTGAAAAAATTGGCCATCTGTTGAAGGATAAATATGAAAACAGTATCCAAATCTCAGAAAAAATAAAGAGGAAAATGCACAGAAGAGAAAAAGATCAGAGGAAAATACCGATCCATAAGGATGATCTGCTCTACGTTAATAAGTCTCCCAATTACTGTGTAGAGGATAAGAAACTAGGGATCCCAGGGACTCAAGGCAGAGAGTGCAACCGCACGTCAGAGGGTGCAGACGGCTGCAACCTCCTCTGCTGTGGCCGTGGCTACAACACCCACGTGGTCAGGCACGTGGAGAGATGCGAGTGCAAGTTTATCTGGTGCTGCTACGTGCGCTGCAGGAGGTGTGAAAGCATGACTGATGTCCACACTTGCAAATGACCACTCCATCCAGCCGTGGGTGAGCGTCCTCAGTGACGAACAACAGGAGAACCCCGAGACCATGCCTCCCCTGTGCAGGGCTGGGGGATTTGACTCCCCCCTTGGAATTCCCAGATCCTCCGGCCTCTCTCTGCCGTCCCTTTACCTGATCGTTGTCCAATCAATCACACACTGAGCATTCTTGGGATTCTAAAGTTTAAAACGTTTGGGTTCATCTTTTGGTGGTTTGGGGAATATACTGACACACAAGGAAGATAACCTGTCTCCTAAGCAAGAAAGACCAGGAAAGAGCCTTCATGTCGAGAGACCTGGTCCATTCTCAGGATAAAATCCTTGACCGTGGAACTCAGTTATGGAACTCAGTAGCGGTGGGTAGATATTAGTCATTTTTAAAAGACATCTCTTACAGCAGCAAGGAGCAGTAAACATGAATCTCATTTATTCTCTCAGTATTTTTTACGAAGAAATCATACTAAGTGTTTGCTCATAGAAACAGAAGATGTTGACAAGTTTAACAGAAGTGGTGAGTGTCTATTATCCTTTCATTCATTTCAAAAGAAAGGCAATTAAAACGAACCTTCAAAGGTGATACAATGCCCATAAAAATTGTTTGCTAGAGATGTTTAGTGACAAAATGAAAGACGCGAAATGTAAAAAGTAAATGTATGATTTGGATTTTAAGTGACTTTCAACCAGGAGTATTTATCTAGAAAAATATCAGCAAGATATATAGCAGTCTTTGATCTTTGGCTTCACACTTTCATCAGAGACCAGTTTCCACTATTAAAAACTCAGCTCTGAAGTATTTGGGAAGGAAGGAATCCTGAAAGCATATGAGGAAATTGGTGGTAAAAATATAAAAGGCTTTCATACATTGTAAGGAAAAGCACCCTTTACATGTGTAAAGACAGTATTTTGTATGCTATTTTGCTAAATTTTTTTTTATATTTTGTAAATACAGTATTTAAGTTATATGATACATATTGAAACTTAAGATATTTATTGCCAAAGCCCAAGGGCTAAGGCAATAACATTATCTCAGAAATAATATTAGCTTCTGTTTCCTTTTATACTATTAACTCTGACTTTTTTTATACATTGAGAAAGATGTTCACTGAACAGTTACTTATATGGATGTGTATTTCTTGCCAAAGTGGCAATTTTATATGTTATAGATTAAACTATGCTGCAAAATATTGATAATTATGTGATTTCAGAAGATTAGTTGGATTCTGTTTTTAATTAGTTATGTTTCACTTATAATGTTATTGTAATAAATTATACAGTAAAAGTTTTAACTGGAAAAAAAAGAATCTAAACTAAAATAATTATTCATTTGTGGATGTGAGAGGCTGGATATTTATTATGTTTTGTTCAATGCTGCATTTCCACATGAATGTTGAATGGTCTTTCTTGTTTTAGTATTCATGCTTGTATACTCATCATACTTTACAAGATTCCTGGCAAAAATTACAGGGCTGTATTTAAGGTTGTATTTTAATGTAAATGCTATGTTTTTCTAAGAATTGTTAAATATTTCAGTATTCTATAGAAACAATAGATTTTCTAAGTTCAGGATGGACAAAGAAAGAATATTCTTTTCCTTAACATAAGGTAAAGAAATGTTTACCTGACCCCCAGGTCTCATTCTATTTCCTTTCAATTTTATTTACCAAGGCAGAGCAATAATTTGTGAAAAAGAGCTAACCATGGAAAATGACTCTGATCTAGTATTAAAATCAAGGCTAAGCATTTAACTGTGACCCTTAACATTTAACGAAATCATTCCTTACTGAACGAGAGATTCCAAAATGACAAATGAACACATAGTGTGCTTATTTAAAAGAGAGATTTACCATTCTTTAGCATTCACTGATTAGAACAACCGGAAAGACAGACACTTACTCTTATGCTATTTTTTGAAAAGTGTATGCTATTTTTTGAAAAGCATATCTATTCTAGCTGCATTGAAAATAAGCACTCTTTTTTAAAAGATGAAGAGTGTAGTTTCCATTAATGAGCAATTTTTTTTTCTAACAACTAGAAAACTTTCCACGATTATCTTACCAACCAAATGTGAGAATCAGGCAGCCTCTAAATCACAAATACCTGATTAATATTCAGCCCCGTCTCTGACATGCCCGGGCAGGAAATCCCAGCTCCCAAGCTGCTGTGTCTCTGGGTTCTTCTTTGCCTTCTCCCTGGCATCACTGTGGAAACTATCCTTGAATTTCTCAACTGTTTTATTGGCCAACAACCCAGCTTCTGCCCGTTTCCTTTCCACTCCGCATCTGGTACAGGTCCCACCATGGTGCTCCTGGAAATACATGTTCCGGGGCCCAAACGTTTCTTTCCAGTCTAGGCTATGTGCTTGCATTGTTTAGGGCTCCTTACGTTGCAGGCAACAAAAAATGCAACCCCAACTGACAAACATTAGAAGAAATGTATTGACTCAGTAACTGAAAAGTCTAGAGTTATGACTGATTCAGGTGAAGCTTGATCCAAAAGCTCACACTATGTTCCCAGGGCTCAGGTCTCTCCATCTCCTGGCCTCTGCCATGCTGTCTTCTGTTGCAGGCTCCACGGGTCTCTGTGCTAACCCCCAGCACCCCACTCCCAGCTCCAGTCTCTTGGCTTTTCTCAGCAGCATGGCTGCCACAATTCCCTCTAGATCTAACATTCTCCTACCGCTCATTCTAAGGAAAGGGAGAGGTCCCTCTCCTCCTTCTCCTCCCCCTGCCCTACCCCGTACCATCTCCCCTTCCCCCTTCTCCTCCTCCTCCTCCTTCTTCTTCTTCTTCTTCTTCTTTTAAATTTGTTTTTTAATTGTTCGCACAGGAGAGAGGGAAAACTTTTATTTCTCAGAACGCCCGGCAAAGGTCATCACTGGCTCTGATTGGTCACTGTGCCTATCCTGGAGCCAATCACCATGGCCACTGGGGTTTGGGCTTGGATGATAAATCCAGTGATCATTTTAAAGCAATCAAGACTCATGCTGGGAAATGGTACTAGAGTTCATTCCAACCAAACTCCCATAGTTTGGGAACAAGAAAGAGGTGAGTCCATTGAGAAAAACCAGGGTGTTATGGTACCACTAAAGGGTCCTCTGTGCCAGATAGTCCTTAGTTTCAGAGATGTGTTTAGGAAACAGCTTTCTGGTATCATATGTCTCAGGCTCACAGCCAGACAATCACTGTGGGTACAAAGTGCCTTGATTTGTTTAAACGTCCTTTACGATGTTAGAAGGGGAGGGGAGTTACACTCTAGTGTATTAATTTTCAGTTTAGGAGTTCAACTCTTTTGTAAACTTGGAACTCCTGATAGAGGCAATGGTTAGTAGCAGTGATGATTATCCTGAAGTGAGATCAAGAAAACATATCCAATGGCGTTATCTGTAATCTCTGGATAAGAAGTTGACTAATTAAAGCATTTCCTTGATAGTTATACTTTACACAACACAAAAACACTTTAATTTGTTTGAATATAAATAACAGCATTATTTCCCTTATTCATGATCTGGATGATAGTTTTTTGTTTGTTTTTTTAAGAATATGATAGTTATATTAAGAATAACAATATAATTGAACTATGTAAGTTAGATGCTATGACCCTATTTTGCAGCTCTGTAACCATCCGATACAGTAAATATTTTAATACTTAACACTTTAATTTTCTGAAGTACTGTCAGTACTGATATGTTTGTTTTTACTTAAGATGTGGAACCAGAAAAGCTTTCCATCAAAATAGTTATTTATTGTCAGTTTGGTGAGAGACTTTTTGCATTACCTCCTAAAGGCCATCAATACGAAAGAACTGAACCCCTTATTTGGAGAAGACAGTTAGTTGTCCAGAACACTATAATCCACTTAGCTGACTTGAGGGGAGAAAACTTCAAATTATATCTCCAGGCATCAGGAATACTCCTCAAGAAAACACTTTCCTAAGGAAAGTTGGCTAAGACGCCTTGATTTTTAAATTTTTTTAATTTCAATTTTCACTATAGACCAGATGTGACAATCCATTTCTTGCATTTGAATGATGAGGTAAGCTGAGAAGGACAAATGGTGGCACAGCATGACAGGGAACATGGTGGTATGCCCAAAACTCAATTCCTCTGAAAAAGGAAACAATATTAGTAAACACTTAGATAGCACTTACCATGTACCAGGTATTGTTCTAAGTAAATTACATATATTAAGACACTTAAGCCTCAAGATAACCTCATAAAGTAGGTACCACTATCGTGGTCCTCCTTTTATAGAAACAGAGTAATGGTGAGGTCAGTAGCTGGCCCAGGCCACACGGAACAGACTGGCTTCAGAGACCGTGCCCTTAACCATCATATCATTATTGTGCCTCTCACAGCATCAAAACAGTCAGCACAGAGTTTACAGTATCCCATTTGAAGGGTTTGGGGATTTGTAAATATAATGACAATTCCAGGATGTTCCTTCAGGGTTCAGCTGAGAAGCAGGGCAGAGGTGATGGGAGAACTGAAGTCTCAGAATTCACCATGAAAGGTAATTAAAATCCACTGCCGCTTGGTTTCTAAGCTCAAAGTGATTTAAACGGCCTGCCACCTGAGATCCCAGCATGGCTAACAGCTGGATTATGCTTCAAGAGCCTCACCGTCCAGTCCAAAAGGAAATAACTAGGGGTGAGGATCAAACTGACTTAGTGTGACATTAAATAAACACTTACATCCTTTTGATTGTTGTACTTACAGCCAACTGTTCCATAAGGTGTTATTTTTAATAGAAGGGTGAAATTTACCATTGGTAATGGTTTACACTCACATCCAGAGAAAAACCACAAGACATGGCTTGCACGATTAAAATCTCTTGCAACAACATCATGCTAGAAAAAGGCAGCCTTTCCCACTGGTTGTAAAGGGAGTGCAGTGTAGACCAACAACACAAACTGAAGTTTCATATGTGACTTCTAAATTTGCTGAATAAATGAAAGCATCTGATTCATGTGTAAGAACTGGAAGAGCAGGGGAGAGTGGGAGATTCAGGGCTGCCTGCTGCCTTCCGGAGCGATTCACCTCCAAAGAGGCCAAGAAGCCTTCCCTTCTGCGCGTCAGTAACGAACAGCCGTCCGTGACCATGGCCCATATCCACCCGGCCATGTTTAGCCAAGAAGAAGGAAGTGGGGCCCCTGGCAGCCCCTAATTACTCTTCGATAAAAGAAGAATACCCCTAAATTTAAGTGCATATTTAAACACAGCTCGAACTCTTCATAAACCAAGGAAGGGTGTAAATATACAAAATACAAGCCAACATTACCTATTTCTTTCTAGCACATACTCTCTACTTTCAAGAATTAAAAAAATTTTTTTTCAGTTGTACTGATTTTTTTCCCCAGCTCTACTGAGGTATAATTGACATAAAATGTTGCATTTTAATTGCTTGATCTCCAACTCCCTGGCAAACAACTCATTTTTGATCCTCACAAGGGTCTATGGCAAGCAGGCAAGAAATATCATGTGGTACAACAGCAAAATGGAAAAACTGGAAAAGTCAGTGTGATAAATCCTCTTTAACATGTCCCCTGTTTAATGGATACAGGCTGAACACTTTTACAAGCTGAAAGATACATTTCTGAGGAAAAAATTCTCTCTTCTGCTGGCTCAAACGCTTTTTCTTCCCCCAAATGCTCAATTGATCATTTCTTGAGAAACGGCACTTTAAAATTTGTTGACTAAATATAGGGACTATAATCTCAAAATTTCCATGGCCGCAGCTCCTGTAACTACGCTCACATCCCACACTCCCAGGGCTGTGGGGTGAGAGGGAACCGTCTCCACGGTATTTTCATAAAGGGATTTTAACACTTCCTTGCAAGGTGTTAACAGTTCCACAAGAATTGGCTTTCAACCCCATTCCCAGGCCAAAAGTTTCAGATTTCTGTAGGAGGTGAGGTACCAGCTCATGTACTGATCTTAACCCTCAGGTCCCCTCCCTGAGGGAGAACGGAAAGTCATCCGGGGCCAGTGCACGCCCCTTGGTAAGGGGCACACAGGCTCATTCCTCACACCTCAGGAAATCCTCACCACCGACTCTTCCTCTTCCACCCAGAACCTACCGAGAGACCCAAAACCCTCAGGGATGACGGCCTTCCCCACACTGAACATATTTCTGGCTCTATTTCTCAGCATCATTTGCTTTCAAATCCCTTCTCTGCTCAGAGGTTGGAATTACGAGACATTTTCTTTGAAATTCATTTCTGTTTTTGTCAAATGGAACAGTGCTTCTCTAATCACGTTCCTAATACTCGGGGGTCTGCAGAAGACAGTTTTCAAATCAGTTATCTTACTCCACTGGCGAGGCAGAAGGCTCAGACCTGGCTGGGAACTCCTGGCCCCAGCACTGAGCTCGCTCATCTGACCAGGAGACATCCCAGCGGTAGCAACAGCACCTGCGTGGTAGGTAGACAAGCAGGACTGCTTTTGAACACAGAATGAATGCCCTGCTGCAAATGTGTTTGAAAGTCAAATGAATACATTTCAAATGACAGACTTGTAAGGGAAGTGTTATCCCAGAAATCAAAAGGAGGTTTTAAAGTTCTCATTCCAGGTTCCTCTCTTGCCCAGGCACCCCTGCTGGCGGGTAAGGGCCCTCACAGGCTGTCTGAGCAAGAAGCAAATGCTGGTGTGCAAGGGGTTCAGCCCAGTCCCAGCATCTCCTCTGACCTGATGGCCTTCCCCACCCCCAACCCCCACTGGAGGCGGGAGTTGGGTGGACAGTTTGGAGGTTTCTGTGCTCTCCTGGCCTGGACTCTCCTGTGAGACCCCTCAACCAGCTGCTGCCCCAGGAAGGAATCAGAAAACCCTCCCTGCCTCTGGCTGAAGTCACGTAATCGCACATGCTCGTGGGGCGCCAGCAAGGGGAACTGTATCACGTGATCATCTGACATGCTAGCTGCGTGGAGGTACACAAAAGCTTGAATTCTGCAGGTGAAAGGGAGTTTGGTGTCAGGGTGGGGAGAGTGGAAGGGGATTGTGTATGGTCAGGGGCTTGGAGGTCAAGGAGAGCCCTGTGCGGCAGGAGGGCCTGGCCAGGGAGCTCTCCTTCGCACAGCGCTAACCCCGTTCGCGGGGGCTCCGCCCTCATGACGTAATCAACCCCAAAGGCCCCATCTCCAAATACCCCCTCCCTGGGGATTAGGTTTCAACATATGAATTTTGAGGGGACACAAATATTCAGACCCTAACACTTGGTATGACGGAATTGGAAAGCTGAAGAGGCGGGCTGAACCTTCCTGTCTGGCTAGAACAGCACCAGCAGGCAGAAGACGAGTCAGCAACGATAGGGGCGCCGGCAGCTGCGTTAGGGAGCAGCTTGCGCCAGGCCCCGGCGGACACGGCAGACACGGCAGACACGTGGTGCCGTCCCGGTTTTCCAGGTGACGCTCCCAAGGTCCTCGTGTGGCCGACAGCGGGACAGAGACACGCAGGCGGGTCTGTGTACGCTCGGCCAGTAGCGACCCTGTCTCCTCATTACAGAATTCTCTCCACTTTACAGTTTTAGTCCCGCTCCTCCCTGGCTATACAGTGAAACAATATGGGCTGATTATATGGAACATTAGGAGACTGCAGGTTCAAAGATCAATTTTCCCTAATAAAAAGGAGCATCTTTTACCATCTTAGCTTCAACTTGTTCTTTCGATATTCAGGGCACCCCAGTGGTTGGCACGGTTTCTGCAGAGCTGGAGAGGGAGTTTAGTGATGGCAGTTTAGTGATGTCCCTGTGAACTAGCTGGACTGGGAAGACGGTCTTTGCTGTGTTAAGTTTGCTTATAAACTACCCGTGGAACCAACCCAGGAGAAACCTCTCTTCTTGTCTCTAACCAAAGGGCTGGTCAGCCCCTCTTCCTTTCCCAGCCCTCCTAGGAGGAGACATCCTCGTGTTGAAAGTGTTGCCTCAGTCCAGCAGCCCCTCCCCTCACTGGCAGGGGGGAGGTGCAGGAAGTCTCACAGATCCCTGAAGGGCTTTTGGCACATCCTCTGCTGCTCCCTGATACTCCCCAGCTCAGCCTGGCTGCTCCTCACTCTGTCCCACCCTTGATTTCACTGGAACATCAAGAAAGGGGATAGAGGAGGAGGGAGACAGCAGTAAGAGGGGCAGGGACAGGTTAAACTAGGGAGCTTTGAGGGGAAGAGACATTAACCAGCCACTGGCTTGTGACAATCAAAAACTAGGCAGAGGACAGAAAAATCACCCTGGGAAAAGACAGCAAAAGAACGCCTCTAAGGACTGCTTTAGATAGTGAAGAATCTGGTACTTTATTCTACAACCCCTAACTCACATGCACACATTGCTGTTCAAGGCCCAGGTGAAGAGGTTCAGTGGCAAATCTTTTCCCTGATCAACACAAGCAATTCTTTCCTTTCACATTCATTTTAGAAACTATTCTGAAGGCATTTCCATTTTCAACTGCTCTACTAACTGAACACAGCATGTTTCTCATTCTTTTATTCAAAAATGAGGAGTGCCAACCAAATTGAATGAAACTAACATCTTTTTGGGGGGGGTCAACTTACTTATAATTTGTATAAACTTTAAGTTTATAAAACATAATACAGGCTAAATGCACTGAGCTTCATGTGGTAAAAAATTATAAAATATTAGCTAATTCACTTCAAAACAAATACAATATAGAAAGAACAATGATAAATTTTACTTTAATCAAAGTCAGGAATATAAAGATTCTGACCCAATTTTTCTTTAAGTTCTCAAATATCACTAATTTTTCTACTGTCTTCGCTTAATTTTAACAGGCATATTATAATACACTTGTTCAAGGGAAAGCATCTATGATTACAAATACAAAACACATCTGTAAGTCCTTAAACACCATTTAAAATATCAAAGTGTCAATGCCAAATTTCTGATTTTAATGAAAATTCTGAAAATTAGATGAGTGTTGCCGCATTTGCAATGTTGATTTTTTTAAAGCTATCTGAAAATGAAATACAGTAAGGTTATTGCTTCCAAAGTTAAAAGTCGGCATAATCTATAAAAGACAGAATTCAAACAGAAGCAAACTGCATGAAAGCAGTTACATAACCCATCTTTATCCCTTATGTTTTATCCACCTCTACAAAGCTATTATAGTCTTTATCTTGAAAGGGATGTCCTGCCATCTAGATACTTAAATTCCATCGGTGTTTAGATATATCCTGATATTAGCATGTTGAACAAGAATGACAGATCTTGCACATTAAGCAGAACAATAAACGCCTGACAAACCTTTGTGTGAGGATCTGTTGGTATCACACTTTGCCAGATAATACAAAAAAGTTCACAATGCAAAAACCAAGAGTATTTATTCTCATTATTTAAAAAAAGGAACATTTATTTCACAATCCCTGGAACTGTAAAATAGCTATTCTTTTAATTTACAGAATCGAGGGAAGTATTTTAAATGTCAAAATACATGTGCTGAATGTGATTTACCATATAAGCACCGAAAATCTGAAAAGTTTACAAAAATTGTCTAAATGTGTAAGGTGCATTTTATTCATGAATTACATTCAGTTTGAGGGAAGAAACAGTACCCCCAAACTCACTGATATTTAGAAAAAGCCAAATAACTCCCAACTTGGTTTACAGCAAAATCAAAAATACTGCTTAAGTTTTTTTATGTCATCTAAAATTTAAGTGCTGCCTTTTATGGTGAATGGCAGTCTGATCATTACGTTTGTTTATGCTCTAGTTTGATACTTCATACACAATTGATATTTAATGCCCTAAAAATATTTTAAAACTTGAGGAATTTTGTGAACATCTGAAGTTAACAAGAAAGTTAGCTGTCTTATATTTTTATGTAGAATTGGGTATAAAGTCATTGTGTGTCAAATAAAATTATTTTTTAAATGTTATCAGTCCCAATCAGTAATTAGGACTTTTCTAAGTATGTTGTTATCCTTTCAGGCAAAAAATTGCTATTAAGAAGTTAGAGGACAGTAAAACTGGAATTTCTTGGTTTACATATCAAAATTATTGTGATAGTAGTGCATGCCTGTTTCCAAACCGCTTGATCAATGCCAATTACAACTAAGTAAGGGACACGTACGCCGGTCTCGCTCTAAATATACTGACATGGCTGTCTCAAAAGACCTGATGGGGCTGAGGCAGGGACCCAGCCAGCTTTCTCAGTTCTGTGGAGTTGCCACCTCCGGTCTTGAATAGCTTATACAAAATCAAGTTATTCACATTACCAACACAAAACCCAGCCAGCTACGGTCCTGAATGCCATCTACATGAATATATTTACTTTTTACTGTGTACATTAAAAAAAAAAAAGAGAATTCTGTTGTGCTTTTCACATATTTGATGTAAATTTTTGTATTTTATTTCTAGGTTTCTTGGGAAAGGAAGAGAAAGACTAAGAAAAGACATACAACGGGAGAGCCAGACTGTAAAGTAACATTACACACACAACTAGCCAAATATCTTTTTAATTTAAAAGATACTATCATCAAAAGCCTATATATTTATATATATATAAAAGAAAACAAAGTCTCCCTAACATCCGTATTATTCCATGATAGATTTTTCACAGCAATAGTAGATATATCAATATATTTTGCAAATCTGTCCTGTTATCCATTGGGTACGCTTTTTTAGAACTAAAAGATGCCATTATCGTTGCCGTCTAAACATTGTACCGTTAGGGAGATGTGCTCAGAAATGGTTCAGTGACTTGCTCACTATGATGACTATGTACAAAGATGTCTATTTACGTTAGCAATAAATAATCCTGATATCAAAAGAGATAATGGTCATGCACACACCGCCAGGGCTGCATGCTCTTAAAATATTTACATGTCCTTGTTCTGTTACAGCTGTCCCCACCGACAGTGAGTGTGTGCCCCCCTCAATTCTCCGCACGTCAGTCTTGCTTCTGGGGGATGCATCCTTCCATTTCTACCACCTCAGGCCAGCCTTCATACTTGTTCGTGTCCTTGTTGTTCTTTATGTGCTGTTGGAACACAATCATGGTATATATACTTTTTAAGACTTTAGTGAACTGTGTATCTGCAATAACATACTCACGTGCACTCACTTCAGGAACACTCACATCAACAATCATACAAATTACTGTTCAAGATAGCAAATGAGCCACCCCTGGGGTCTGGCATGTAGTGGCAGACCTTCAGATCACAGCTGAACGAACAAAACATGGCAGATGGTTTTTAAAGGATCTTCTGAGTCAAAGAGTAGAGTGTACATTCTATTAAGTTCTAAAGTATTTCTAAACTCGATCGATTATTATATCAAAAGCTCAATTAAAATCTTTAATAACCAACTTCCTAAAAGGATTAAGATAAAAGTAATCACTTGCCCAATGTACTGTCATGTAGGAAAAAAATTTTCCATGCAGAAACCTGACTAACTTCAAGTTTTAAAATGAAAATAGTGCCATGGGTATTTCAAATAACTGACTACCAAGAACTTATGAAAAATGTAAAAACACATTTTAGTGTCTACTTTAAGTGTCAAATAGCTGGGATAAGAGTATGTACTGTATGGTTTCATACAATTTGCTTTTGTCCATTAATTATGAAAGTCTGAGACACTAACCTGTTCAAAAGGGCTTTTTGTCTTAATGCCTTTCCCACCACAGAAGACCCAGTTGTCTCTAAAACCAAGATTAGTAATAGACGTGCTCCCCAACTCAGCAATGAGCCGCCGCGCCTCATCATTGAGCCTTAAAAAGGGAACAAAAGAGTAATACAATAAACGTGGTGCACCATATGTTATCTAATACTGACACATCCAGGATATTTAACAAACAATGAGAAAATGTTGGCTTAAAGAATTGCACACGAAAGGAATAAACAGATTTTTTTCAGAGTAACAATCCTACCACTTGAATTCTTTAGTTATGAAAGAAATGAAACCTAGCAATTAATTTTAAGTTTATTTAAAAGTACCTTTTAAATGTCTTTATTTAACAACATTTTCATCTACATCCATCAAATAAATAAGGGACACTGTAGTTAGCAGTTCTGCCTACCCAGATTAACCTAAGATCTTTTTCCCTCTCCCTTAACAGAGGCACTGGGGATTGAACCCAGGACCTCGTGTAGCCAAGCAAGTTTACCACCACCCCCTAACCCAAGATCTTAAGCAACCAATATCTCTGTAAAATTAAAAATCACTTTGACTCACCACTAAACCCTTTGTAAATTACATTTGAATAGAGCAAAGGTAAATGCTGACAGAAATCTGGCTGTTTCTAATACTATGTTTTATTTAAAAGAAAACGCATTTTGAGAAAAGGGCTATAAATTCTACTTCAATGACAACTGCCAAGTGGTTATTTAATAAAAACGAAAATATTAACCACATGGCAGCTAAGGGCCTGCCAGCAGGAGAGAGGGCAGTGACAAAAGGCAACTGCTAGGGAACCAGCTAAGTGAAAGATGCTACGAAGGAACTGTGTGTAGGTTATCATCCTGATGTCGAGTGCCTCTCATCTCCCCTCTGACTCGAAAGGGAGAAGGGAATTTAGGAGACACATGCTAGCTGTAGAGCTGGAAAAAAGAACAAAAAGACAACTAAGGGACACCTGTGCAGCTACTTTAAGTCCTTTATATCACCCAAGAGGTGGCACTGAGCAGAACAAACCTCTCTGACTGACCCCTAAAATCTGAGGCAAGGCAAGTTTTACATTTGCAAACAGCTGGAGGATCATTCGCTGCAAATAGCAGGAGGGTCAGTGAGGAAGGCCCCTGTTTATCCCACAGCGTTCTTGGAAGCATCCCATGCTAACATCAGTGAGCTAAGCCTTTACTGCACGAATGAAAGGAACACTACACAACAGTTCTCATTTAAGTAACTTGAAGACACACAGGATAATTTATGGTAAAAAGCTTCCTAAAACAGGAAAGAACTACATATATCATTAGCTTCTCCAATGTATACAAGCACAGCCCTGGGGCCGTGGAGCTGTCTTAGCCACAGCTTGGGCACTGCTGTCCTCCTGGGGGAAGCTCACTCGAATTTGGTAAGAAAACCAGGTGTAGCCCTGGAATATGGAGACTTGCAGACTCATAGCTAATATTTAAAGTGATGCATTTATAACCAAGGGAAATAAAAACAAATGAAATGCCTGTGCAAAAGGACATGTGACGTCTTGGCCTCTGAAGGTTCGGAGACCTGCACAGAGAACCACGCGTACACACTTCCAGCTTTCCCCCAAAGGTCATCTAGCAGTGTTTCCTGTACCCATCCTTATGTCAATTAACTCTCATGGCCTTTGTCTGCTTGCTCCCTTGATAAGCAACTTCTGCAGTAGAGGGACACTCCTTGAAAGTATTGCCTGAACACTGTTTTCTTGTTTCTAAACAGTATTAGGATGTCCTGGATCTGAAGACTGCCTGGCTCCACTTACGTGCAGATGTTTTTCAACAGTAAATAGAATACTACACAGTCTGTGGTTGGTTGAGTCCGTGAATGCAGAGGAAGCACGCATACGTAGGGCTGACTATAAATGATACTCAGATTAACCTCCACATTGTTCGAGGGTCAACTGTTTTCTATATAGGAACACCACGAGTTTGTTACATATGTTTTAATCTTTGCTAATGGCCTTAACTAGCTGAAAAAATTTTTTAAAATGTATATGGAATAAATTATTTTAGTTGAGAATTTTCTTTAAAATGAATAGAAAATTATCCTCTGAGAAGCCAGAAGGGAGACAGAGACAGGGACTGAGTTTCCCTAGAAGAGATTCCAAAGCTGCACAGAGGCAGCGTGGAGGAGGAGTGGGAAGAGGGGCCTGGAGACGGGCTGCCTCCGAGACCTGCCTCCATCTCTGCTGAGGAAGGAGGAACAGCTGATAGGTCTTCAGTCCCACCGTCCCACCAAGCCAACACCACCTTTCTTGAAAAGTACAGAAAGCAAACAGGGAAACTGATACTCTGGGCTCAACTCTGATTAACAGGAAAGAACCAGTTGGGAAGTGTCAAGAACTTTGGAAGAAAATTACATTATCTTAGGAGTTGGAAGAATAAGAAATGCTAGGCAGTGGTGGCCACACAGCCTAGATTCTAAAGAGAGCATATTACAAAAAGTTCAGAGTAGAAACTCTTATGGGAATATGACTCTAAAAACAAACCAAAAAAATCGAACAATTTTCAACACATAATTGCTAACAATCAGGGGCGGGGAAGGACAGTTTTTGCCTTAGTGCTACTACAGGAGTGTTCTGTGATGGGTTCACATTCAGGAAAGGAAGCATGCAAAAAACACAAGGCAAGTCATATTACTAATGACAAAACTTTAAATACTTCTACCAGAAAGACTCAGAGTGCTCAAAATGAGATGAGACTCATAAGACCGCTGAAGGCCACAGAAAGGACTGCTGCTACTAAGGACAAATTAACGTCACGAAGGGACCCCCCCTGTTTCACAAGAATGATATAACATCGAGATCAAAGCACAACTGTCTTTTCCGGGGAGGCAGACACTCTTTGATCAACATAAAAAGGGGACAGTAGTTCAGGAATGTCCATAGTAAGTGCTTTAAAATAATTTAAGCCTCCAGGCTCACACTTGTCACACACTTAAATTTTCAAGGCACTTGTTAATACAATCTTCAAGGTAATAATGTCAGTTATTTTTAAAGAAGCATCATGGAAAATGAAGATGCTAAGACATTAAAAATTAGTTAAATATACTCGTTTTCAAAAAAGACAAGGAAACCGTTGGAAGCAATGGTCCAATAAAACTATTTCTAATTCCTAGTGAAATTCTAGAATGGATTACAACAAGGAGATCCTGTGAGTATTAAAACAAAAGAAAAGAGAGGGCGCAGTGGGAAGGAGGCAGGAATGAAGCCAAGTTCATGTCCATCTCACACAGCTTTAAGAGATTTCTCGGCAGTCAATCAGGGTATTATAATTAGCATCGTTTATGATTTTCAAGTGGGCATCTGATGGTCTCAGAAAAGAACCTCTATGAATAAAACGATGGAACAGCAACTGGATGGTATGCCTATTAGAGTATGTTGGAAACTGTCTGAAAAGTAGTTTCTGCAGCTGATTAATAGATGACTGTCCTGGAGCAGGCCTCTAGCTGGGTGGCACGCTGCCCTTGGTGAACATGTTTATCGATGACTTAGATTCAGACACTGGAATGACTCTGGAAAGAGTACAAAGCCTGGATCATGGAAACCTCACAGGACAAATGTCAGAATCAAGACCAAGTAGGCCAATAACAGCAAAACTAAATTTAACAAAGAGAAATGACTATAAAGTCCTTCACTGAGATGAAACAAAAGCAAGTTCTAAATGGGGACAATGACTTGACTTGACAATGGTTTAAAAAAAAAAAGTCTGAGATCAAATGAAAAGAATCTGAGAATTTAACTTGACCAAAAATTCATAAACCAAAAATGTGATGTGACTGCTTCAAGAAAATGAATGCAGTATTAGTTTCCATAAATATTCAAAGAAACGTAATTTCTCAAACATGGTGAGCTAGTATCTCCACTGTACCCTGCAGTGGCCAGACCACATCTGGAGCACTGTGCCTGACTGGGGCACTCATTGTAAGAGAGACAATAATCACTTAGAGAATGCCCAAGAAACGCAGCCAGGAGGGTGAAATGACCTAGAAACGTAACACGATAAAAAGTTAAGAGTCATGTATACTGAGCCTGGAGAAGAGAAAAATGAAAGAGAAAGGCAATTAGTTCTAAAACTTGAAATATCAAGTGATTTGGGGGGATGTTTCGTTGTTCCACTTTTATGTGAGCTGAGCCCACCAGGTGGAGTTGGGAGGGAGACCACTCTGAGGATGTAACGTTCACTTAAGGATAGTTTCTGATGACCGCTAAGACCCTTTCAAGATATCCACAGTTAAACCCTTCACTTAGGCATGAAGTTAACATGTCACAGAGTGTTCTCCCCAAAAGGAGGAGCAGAATAACAAAACACAGCTTGCTCATTCAAACCATTACACTCTTTATTAAAAAAACAAAAAGCAACTTATTTTAGGGGGTTTGAGGTGGAATGTAGGCATCAACACTGATTTGCACTCCAGAGAGTGTCAGCTTTCTTAGATACAGGTTTTATTTCCTGTTTTGTTTTTAAAACGGACTTCCTAGTTAAAATCAAGAAGTACTGAGATTAACAAAGGTAAAGAGGTTTATTTAGAAGAGAACTTGAAAGTCTTTCATTGTAAATCCCTAAAAAGGGCCAAATCCAAGATGCTACCCCCAAACTTATTTGATCATTACAGGTTTAAAGGACTGAGGTTTTACCGAACAAACTTTAGGAAATGTGTGATGGAGACCAACGCCAACCACCCTGCTGAAGTTCACGGTACAGGCGAGGAGCTCATTATGTACAGCAGTGACTAGGCCCGGAGGGCAGCAGCCACAGAGAACTGAGTCCTGCTCTCCCTGATCACCGTGCCATGGACACCAGCTCTCTAGCCTGGAGAGAGCAGGCACATCCATTTCATATTCTTCTTCTTCTTTTTTAATCTTTTTTTTGTGTGGCTCTCAGTCTGTTTTTTTTTTTTTAATAACTTAGTTGTACTTTATTTGGGGGGGGGGTAATTTTTTCTTTAGAGGAGGTACTGGGGATTGAACCCAGGACCTCATGCATGCTAAGCATGCGCTCTGCCACTTGAGCTATGCCCCATTTCCTATTCTAAACTCTCTTGGGAGTAAGTAGGAGAACCAACCATTCCTTATGAGGTAAAACCCAGTGGCCGTATGTAAGGAGAAGCCATAACACATCAGCAGAAGTAGATGGAGCTTCTATTCCCACATAAGCCTGGATATACCACAACTGATGGACATTTCAGATGTTTGAAAATTAGACATCCGCCAAAATATAGGTTTATACTTGGTTATAGTTAGCAGATGTATATAGCCCTTCATAAAGATTGTTTGTCCATTTCTGTATAAAGGACAAGATGCTTACAATTTAAGCATTCTGGAAGAGGGAAGTATTCAAAATATAAATTCACGTGCTCCAAACTGAAAATGTATACAACTGAATTAATTTAAATGCACAGAAGTTGAATCGTATACTTACCAAGTGTAAAGACTTGGCTAGATCAAAAGGTTAGATTTCTACTCTTGCCTTATAGGTTAAAAAGTCTTTTGAGGCTGCTTTAGGTGCATCTGATAAGCATCAAGAAATAGTAGCTAAAGAGTAACCATCATCCTTGCCTTAGTTCTTAGGTATGGCTAAGATTTATTACTAGCAGAAGGGGAACAGGTCTTATGACCATCAGGTACAATAATGAAATAACCTGATGAAAAAGAGAGGTTGTATGTGTCTATTTAGAAAAGTAGGGCTTTAAAAAAAAATTTAAAACTTCAAATTATCCATGTAATGTCCTAATATTTCAGCAAGTTACTTGTTTTTGATAAGAAAAGCCTAATTACGTTGTGTTTAGTTCTATCTAGCTAAAAGGCAATGGATGAATATGCCAATTTTATTTAACCTTCAGTCTATGGATTTAACACATCCTTAGCTGAACCAGATAAAATGTACAATGTCAATAAATGAACCTGCTGCAGCTTAGAAACGTTCATAAAGTGGCACTATTTTCTTAGTGCAAATCTACAGTGATGTAGTTATGCATTAAATACATGTACACAAAAATCAGTAAACAGAAGACATGCCATATTCCTTCATGGAACTTATAGTTTTAAAGCCTTTCAAATAAAATCTGTAAGGAATATTTTTGTCTTGATAAAAGTCATTTGGAAAGTATCATAGAAGAGAAGGTTTTTGAGAAAGAAGACTATTACACCCCTATTAGCCCCATCAGAAAGGTATTAAGTGTGCTCATTTAATAAAATAAATAAAATTTAATAAAATAATTAAAAACTGAAATAGTATCTTATTGGAGCAGGGATAAATAGATGAACAGCACAGAACTTCTAGAATCAAAGTCCAGTCCACTTAGCAACAGGCATTATAAGTCACTGGAAAATTACAAGTGGATTTTTAAAAATAAATGAAAACAGTGAAATCACTGGAAAAGGAAAAATCTACAAAATACTTAATTTGGAGATGGAAAAGTACTTCTCAGGTATAAAGTGGAAAAGACCGAAAAGGAAAATCCATATACTTAATTACATAAGAATTAGTCTAAACTTCCAAAAGTCAAAAAGCCCCATAAATTAACAAAATTTTTAAAAAATAATAGATTTTAACACGAGAAATGGTTAATATCCTTAACATAGAAAGCGCTCTTACAAATTCGTATGAGTCAATCTAAGTTAAAAGACAATGTACAAGAGGAGGAGCCAAAAACACTTGTGAAAAAAAATCTAGTCTCCCCAATAACCAAAGAAAGGCATGTTAACACAAGATGCCTTTCCAAAACATTTAGAATTGGAAACTTTAAAAAAAATGAACAATCAGTGTCATGGAACTTCTGAGAGACATGTAAAATCGGTACGAACTTTAAAAAATCCTTTAAAAAAATACACATCATTTAATTCAACAACTTCAACTTCAAAATATTTTATCTTAGGAAAAGAGAGATGATTATTAAAAAATTTTTAAGAGTACATTTTTGCTAAATATGAAAAATTAGAAATAGCGTAAGACTCTAGCAGTAGGTATTTTGTCAAATAAATTTTTGTATTTAAAAACTATACTAGGTAGACAGGAAAAATTTTGCTATGAAAAATATGTAATGATATGGGAAAATTCTCACCACATGCATAGCTGAAAAGATATGCTCTAAATACTACCATTCCAAAAGTTTAACGTGAAGAAAACATGTGTATTAAGAAGCATGGAGACAGAAACAAAAGTATTCTCAATGGTTATCTTTGAGTAGGTGAGGTGAACAGTAACTTGTGCTTGAGCTCTTTTGTGCCCTTCTTTTTTCTCCAAATTTTACATCATAGACAATTTTAAGAAAAAAGTTACAAACTACCATCTACTAAACTTTATGAAAACTCTATCACATTTATCCTTTCCCAACTAATTCCACTTCTAGGAATTCACCCTAAGAACATAATGAGAGGTGCAAAAAATGTAAAATGAGGTTTATCATGTTATTTATAATGAACAAAAAAATTTGGCAATACTAGGGAACTTTTAAATAAAAGTGGGGCTGTATGATCAACTGTTGGAGAGCCATACAAAAATTCTACTGGAGTATTATTATCATCAGAAAACACAACTACAGTTGTTAAAAACAGAATATAAAAGACTATAACTAACTTTACAACGTGAGCCTAATTTCACAAGATATGCATGATCAGTACACAGAGAGAAGAAAGCAAAATATAGAGAAATGTTAATAGTGTTTATCTGAAAGTTGGGTTACTTTGTTCTATTTTATACATTTTTTCATTGAAAATATATTGCTTATACTATTATAAATTGTAGCTCAAAAAAGTTGCGTGAATTTTTAAGTTTACATACTTGGTTGCTCCATCATCGTACGTTCCCATTAAGACTATTGTTCCATCTTGTATGGACTTCAGAAACTCAATGAATGGGGCCACATCTGAAGAAAAAGAAAGGGTTGAGGGTTTAATTTCTTACGAACAGGTTAAAAACTAACTTTCCCAACAACTTAAAATTTCCTAATACTGATTCATCCTGTGTTGTCTTTAGTACTGACATCCCAGGGGCTAAATGAAAAAAAAATATATAGCAAAATCACATTAAAGCATGACTTATGATTTAAAGCAAGAAATGGAGGGGGGCAGGAGAAAGACTCATGGACTCCCTGAGTTTATGTAAAACTGTTTGCATAGATACTTTTCTGAAGAGGATACCAAGATTCACAGGGACTGAAATCACTTCTGTGACTATAAACTGGTGATGTTAAAGAGGTCAGTCCGATCAGGTACTACACGTTCCATCTTGAACTCTTTATAACGTCAGGGTCCTTACTGCCCCCGAGTCGAACACTCCTTCAAAACTGGGTTACTTCAGATTTACTCAGTTTTGTTCCACGGCAAAGATTCTAATGATTTTCTCTAAATGAACTCTATTTTAAAATAACAGCATTTTCAATTTAGAAAAAATATAACAGAGCAGCTAACAAATCACTTCCATTTAAACGTAAAGATGGCAGTAAACTGTAATATCTTAACCCAAGGAGTATTTTCAGCAGTAGTCAACCTGCCTGAGATGAAAGACCAGAGCTTCTGGTCACGTGACTGATTTTTGACAACAGTTTTGTAAGTGTGTTTCTGTGTGGTAAGTTTTGGTAGAACCAATTATGCCGTCAGAATCTAAAACTGATGGCACATTTTAAATTAACACAGTTTGGACAGCTATGAAAAGTTCTTCTATCTCATTTTAAAAATAATACATGGCATCTCATTACAAGCTAAAGAAATATCAGAAAAGCTGAGTGGTCAAAAAACAGCACAAATTTCAGGAAGCCTAACAACTCCGGGCTTCCAGGGACCACAGAAAGGGGATGAGGATGGCGAGGTGCAGGAGACAGCCTCCTGCTGATGAATTTCCCAAACCAACGGCTTAGAGAAGAATCAAAGATGAATCAGTGTTGGCTCCCTTCACACCTGAGGAAGAAAGCACCTTCTTTGGGGCACATTCTTCTCCGAGGTGCCAGGCCCTTCTCTCCGGATGCTGGCGGCTAATTCCACCTGCTGCCTGAGTAACTTCCAAATTAGGAAGGTATCTGTGCATTGCTCTAAGTCCAATGAACCAGAAAGAAAATTCTACTTCTTCTCTCAAATATTCATCTACTTGAATAATAATTCTGGTCATGATTTATTTTTGAGACTGAAAAATCATTTGTAAAAAAAGCAATTCAGTCAGTTAAATGTGCTTACATTGGTTATGCCTTTCTACAAATTACTTATTCTTTTTTAACATTTTAGACAGAAACCTAGGAGTCCAAACCTCTGAATTAGTTGTTCTGCAGAAAACAGGACTCAGATTTTTAAAAGCCTTAATTGTGATATTATTGCTCTTAATCGTACATCACCAACAATTTTTATGAAAAATCAAAATATGTGCAGTATGACTGATCACTTAAATATAGTTGGACATTTAATAAACAGAAAGTAAGAGAAACAGAGTGAACTAACACAAAATAGTACTATTATTTTCTCACTAATGGGCTACATTATACTGATGCGATTCAGTGCTGGCAACAGAACAGTTACATGTCATTCACACTTACCTCCTCCCCACATGTCAAAATATCTGGTGTCTAATACGTCTCCTGTTTTTCCTGAAAGAGATCGAATTCATGGCAAATTAGGCAACTGAAATATACTCTACATTGTATAAGAAATGATCTTGTCCAATGGTAAGTGTGAATTCATTAGCAGAGAAAGAATTATTTTGAGAAAGACTTAAAATATGAACTGTATGCATCTTAAAATTTTTTCTAACAGGGTAATTTTTGGAAAGGACTTTCTCACTAATCTTGTAAGCCAAAGAGTAGCAAACAGAAGTTCATGCTAACTGCAGACCACTCAAATTCAAAGATAGGTATTTTTCAGCCTTATTTCAGCCTTTCAGTGTTAAAAAAATTACCCCCAATATATAAACCTTAAAAAAAGATGAATGGAACCATGCTATTTGTCATTAAAGCCATCTTTCAAAAATTTTTATATTTGATTCCCTTTTAAAATGAATTTTCTTTTTGCTATCAATTAAATAGACAAATACGTATAGAATGTTTTATACTTAAGAAAATGAATAAGGTAGAAACACAAAAATGTATCTCATGTGAAAGAAATAAAAAATATTTTCCTCCACTATGAACTGGGTAGGGTGGCTGTGGTTTCTCATTGCCCTCACAGCTTTACAGGGTTACTGTACCAGGAAGAGAGGTGAGCATGCAGTTAGGCAGGCCTCACTTCACGGGCTCATATTTTTGGATTTGATTTTGCAAGAACGCTCGAGATGTTCAGGACTCAATGTGGACGACACTGAAAAATTACAACTGACTCCTATTCTCCATTCGTCCCCACACCCCATCCAACCATCCCCCACCCTTCTGTCGTTTTACACACCCTCATTCATGTCAGTCTATCTTCATATTATGTTAGGATTCCAAAATGTGCAACAAGAATTCATTAATTTAATGTTAAGAGTGGTTGTATCCTGGCAATCTCATGGGAGGCTCTTACACCTTGCAAAGCAAGCTGGATGCTCCCAAGAAAGCATGTTGTAACTACTGAGATGCCAAGTCTCCATGTGCAGTTGGTTTTTTGGAAGGGTGGGAGGGACGGCTTTAATGTCAAGTGCAGCTCTTTCTGACCTGATCTCTTGAGATCAGAGTGTATTTTACTTGAGGCCATATAAACACCCACTGACTACATCCATAAGCTAAAACAATGATTCTTACCATTTACTAAGGCAACGTTGATTCCTCTTCCAACATTATTCTTAACACCACTCATTAAACTGAAGGGGGAAAGTCAAGAGAAATTTAGAATTAGATACTGCATATAAACATGTATCAGAGAAATAAAGCCGTGCCAAAAAAAAAAAGTTAAGGGATATTATATACACATACAATCAGTTAGTACTACAGTGGAGACTAAAGAACTCAACGGCAGCTTTAACCACCCGAATCTAATTGACATTTAAAGAACATTCACCCAACAAGAGCAGAATACATGTGCTTTTCAAGTCCTCGTGGAGCATATATTAAGACAGACGATACCATGGGCCACAAAGTAAACCTCAACAAATGTAAAAGAATTGAAATCATATCAGATGTGTCTCCAACCACTATGAAGTCAGTAACAGAAAGATAACAGGAACATCTCCACACACTTGGAAACCTAGCAGTATACGTCCAAATAATCTATGGGTCAAGGAAGTCTGAAGTGAAATTAAAAAAAACACACTGAAAATACAATTCATTAAAACTTGTGAGGCATAGCTAAGAGTACTGAGAGAGGAATTTATAGCACGAAGTGCTTAAATTTAGACAGAAAGTCTCAAATTGATAACCTAAGTGCTCATCTAAAGAAAGAAACCTAAAACGAGCAGAAAGAAAGAAATTAAAAAGAGCAGAAATCAATGAAACAGAAAAGGGAAAAATAGAGGAAAAAAATCAGTGGGACAAAAGGCAGGCTCTTGGAAAAGGTCAATAAAATTTTAACAAAACTTTAAGAAGACTGACAGAGGGAAAAAAAAAGAGAAGACACGAATCACCAATATCAAGAATAAAATGGGAGGTCCCTACAGAACCCAGAGACATCAAAGGAACAACAAAGGAACACTGAACAACCCCACACACGCAAACATGTAAATCTGACAACTCAGATGAGCTGGATCAACTCCCCAACGAGTACAAACCAACGCGACTCATCCATCATGAAAGAGGTCATTTAAAGATACTGAATTTGTTTATAAACCCCCCGCACCCCCAAAATCCCCAAGCTCAGACAGTTTCACTGGAGACGTCTACCAAGTGTTTTAAAAGGAATTAACTTCAACTCTACACAAACTCTTTGAAAAGACAGACGCGAAGGGAACACTTCCCAACTTATTTTATATTAATAATGATACCAAAATCTACAAGAAAACAACAAACCAATAAGATCCATTAGTATATAGGCGAAAATCCTTAACAAAACATTAGTAAATGGAATTCAGCAATATATTTTTTAAAAATTAGCATAAACCATGACTAAGTCAGTTTAGTCTACAAAAAAATACAGCTTAACATCATACTTAACGGTGAAGGACAACACTTCCCCCCCTAAGGCCAGGAACAAGTCAAGCATGTCCACTCGCACTATGACTACTGAACACAGTACTGGAGGTCCTCGCCAACTGCCAAGGAAAGGAAATAAAGGTGTACAGATTGGAAAGGAAGAAAATAAAATGGTTCCTAATTGCAGATGGTGTGTGTGTTACCTGCATAGTCAGATAATCTCAAGGAATCTACAAAAACTTCCAAGAGGTTTCAGAAGTAATAACTTAATTCAGCAACATTACAAGATACAAGATCAATATAAAAATCAACTGTGTATCGATGCACTAACAATGAACACAAAGAAACTGAAATTAAAAATACAATGCCATCTATACTTCAATAAAAGAAAATACAACATCATCTACAATTGCTCAAAAAAGTAGAGGATACTTGGGTATAAATCTAATGAAGCATGTGTAGGACTTTATGCTGAAAGCCACAAAGTGGTGATGAAAGATATGAAAGACAAAAATAAATGAGACATGTCATATTCATGCACTGAAAGACTCAACATTATAAAGATGGTCAGTTTTCCCCAAATTAATATACAGGCTTAACAAAACTCCTAACAAAACCCCACGAAGATTTTTTTGTAGATAGAGGCAAGATTAATCTAAAATGTCATATACAAAGGCAAAGAAACCAGAGAAGCTAAAATAATTTTGAAAAAAAAAAGAATTAAGTTGGAGGAGTCATTCTATCCCATTTTAAGAGTTATTGCATAACTAGTGTCATCAAGAGCATGTGATATGTCGGTGGCGGGTCTAGACCAATGGAACAAATAGAGAACCCAGAAGTGGACCAGCAGAACCAAGGCTAACTTATTTTTTGATAAAGGAGGAGAAGCAAGTCAATTGAGAAAGGACAGTAATTTCACAAACGGTAATGAAGGAAGTGGACATCCGTAGGCCAAAAAACTGAACCAAAACCTGAATCTCATATAAAAATTACATACAAAATTTCATACAGAAGTCTCATACATGTTCAAAAATTAATGCAGAATGGATCATACGGAACACATGAAACTATAAAAATTTTAGATGATAATACACAGAAAAACCTTTGGACTCTAGGGCCTGCTGAAGAGTTCTTGGACATGACATCAATCCATAAACAAACAACAAAGCACAGTCCGTAAAAGAAAAAAAAATCGATAAACTGGACTTTATCAAAATTATAACTTTGGTTCTGCAAAAGACACTGGTTAAGAGGAATGAAAAGACAAGCTACAGACTGGGGGAAAATAGTTACAAACCACGTATCTGGCAAAGGACTCATGTCTAAAATATATTTAAAAAACTCAAAACTCAGCAGTAAAAAACCAAATGATCCAATTAGAAAGTGGACAAGGGACATGAATAGATATTTCACTGAGGAGAACATACAGGTGGCAAAAAGACACATTAAAAGATATTCAACAGCACTAGTCATAAGGGACAGAAAACTGTGGCATCAGTACATTCCTATTAGAACAGCAAAAATAAAAAATAGTCACAATGCCAAATGCTGGCAGACATACAGAGAAACTGCATCTCTCATGTGTTGCTGGTAAGAATGTAAAGTGGAACAGTCACTCTGGAAAATGTATGGCAGTTTCTTATAAAGTTAAACATACATCACACAACCCAGAGCTTCTGGGCATTCTATTACAGAGAAACAAAAATGTATATCTATTAAAAAATCTGTAAATGATTTTTCATAGCAGCTTATCAGGAACAGCAAAAAACTGGAAACACTGAAATAGTCTGATTGAAGACAACAGGTGATGGATAAACTGTGGTATATCCATACTATAGAATATTACTCAGCAATAAAACAGAAGCAAATTATTAATACACAACATTTCAAGAGCATTATGCTGAGTGAAAAAAGTCCCACTGCAAATGGTTATATATTATATGATTCTATTTATATAACATTCTTGAAACACCAAGATGACAGAAATGATAAACAGACTAGTGATTACCAGAGGTCAGTGACAGTGGAAGTGACCGTAAGAGGGCAGTATGAAAGAGATCTACACGTGTGATAAAATGACACAGAACTACACCCACATGTGCAAATGCCAATTTCTGTTCTGATACCGTACTGTAATTACGTAAGACACAACCCTGGGGAAAACTGGGTGAAGAGCACAGGGGACCTCTCCGTTCTATCTTTGCAACTGCCTCCAATTTCTGCAGTTATTTAAAAAATAAGTTAAAAAGAAGCACTCCACTCCAAGGTCCATTAAAAAAGGAAAGCATACAAATTTGATTTGTAAAAGCTTAGTAGCATTTAACTACTATTTACCTGTACTGGTGGCAAATCCACCTTCAAAATTTCACTCGTCATTTTCTAAAGTTTCAATGTAGTAAAGTACAGATCTTTTTTATGTGTGTGTAAGACCAGTTCTGAAAGTGGGGCCATAAAAGAACCAAACAAATCTGCTATACAAAAGAGAGAAATTTCAAAATGCATTTGCTCTGCTCCTTTCAGAAAAGTATTGGGTAAGTGAACTCAACCATTCATATGAAGCAGTCGTAGCAACGATTAGCCTGGCAGAGTAATAATTAAGTGTCCCGGTGTCACCTCCAAGCAGAGGTCATCTCGAAGTGTGTGTGCATCTACCACGAGGCAGACAATACAGGCAACAAAGCAACACTATGACATAGGCTTCCCACAAGAGGGCAGTAGCTTATCAATTTTTAAACCTACAGCAAGCAAATGACAAACCACTGAAGATTTTAAACGTATAAGGCTTAGTCACTCTTACTAACATGACTGCAATATTTCCTTCTATTCTTCATGAATATGCAGGTTCCCCCCTCCCCACGCCACACCTCTAGGCAAAACTCTAAAGACAATGACTTTGTAGTCTATATAGATTCTACATCCTTGAATATAGTTTTGTTTCAAATGCCTATTATATGTTCCCGATATTATGTCTTAAAATTAGTTCAGAGCAGGGTTTAGCCACCTTCAGTCTATGGACCAAATCTAGCCAGCTGGCTGGTTTTTGTTTGTTTAAAACTTAGAATGGATTTTACATTTTTAAATGGTTACATTTTAAATGATTATGTGAGTACCTACATCGTATCTGTGATTTTTACCTTTCGGCTCTGACAGCCCAAAATACTACCTGACCCTTCAATGTGGGGGAAAAAGAGAAAAAAGAAAAAAAATCCCTCAGAGTAGTATGCTGTATCATTTCTATACCAAACATTAAGAGTGTAATAAAAGGTGAAATATTATTCCTAACATCAACTTCATATAAACTAAAATCATGGGTGTATGTCTAAAATAAAAGCTACATCTTGAACATAAGTAAACTCTGGGTTCTCTAATACAAAAGAAAAAAGCCACAGTTCCTGTACGGTGTGACATGATGTTTACACCCAGGATTTTCTATTTCTAACCAATGATATATCTTGCCAGTAATATATATATCTTGCCATAATATATCTTGCCAGTAGCCACTTGTCCTTAAAGCCATGCCCTCAACTCTAAACTGTCATCTTTTACGTGTACTGAGGTTTGTAAATCTCAGTCTATGATGACATTATAGGCGTGATTCGCGTGGAAGGGCTGCCCTGTGCACTGTAGGACGTTTAAGAGCATCTCTGGCCTCTACAAGTAGCACTTCCACAGCTGTGACGTCCCAAAATGTCTCCAGACCTTGACAGGCGTCCCCTGGGGAGAAAATTACCGCCACTGAGAAGCAATGATCCAAACTAGTCTCCGAAATGAGTTTGCATATGCTCAGAGCATGTGCAGGAAAATATTAAAATTTCTGCTGATGTATTTTTTAGTATCTATTTATATAACTTAGTGAGTACACATGCAAAAATGTCTCTTGCCAGTGCTGCGGGGTGGGGTGGGGGAGGGGAGAATCAAAGAGCTGTGGCAGCTACAGGTGACGGTCCTCCACCGCTGCGTCTGCTCTCCTTTTCTAACACTTTTACACGGCAGTCAGATCGCTGCTTCTTCAATGTCAATTACCTCATGACGTGTCATGTTCAACAACTTCTCAGTCCACTCAGAAAAGAGCTCATCTCCACCTGCGTGGCCTGTAAATTCCAATGGCCCAGCCCTCACTCACTTCTCTCCAGCTCCTTCCCAACTTAGGGCCTTCGAGGATGCTCTTTCTTCTGTCTAGAATGCTTCTGCCCCACCCTTCATCTGGCTATCTTCCTTCTTATTCTTTAGTCCTCAGATTAAACATCGCTTGAGAGACTATTCCTTGACCCACTCAGTCTAAAGCCGGACCCCTCGACCTCACCTGGCTCACCCCCATCAGCAGTCACCACACAGCGCTGCTCTGCAGGGTGCACGCCACGGTCTGCATTCATTTGCACTTACTTCTTATATCCATCTTCCCACTAGACTGCATGCTCCATGAGAGCAGAGACTGTGCTCCGTAAATATTTGTTGAGTAAGTGAATGAATGATGCTAAGAAAATTCAGACTCTTTACACTTTTTGTTGGAAAAACTTTCAATACACAAAAAGAACAGACTAGAAAAAGTACTGGACTGAGCATCGTCCCTACTGTTTGTCCACTAGGGAACCCTGGACAATTATTCAGTCCTTCTTCAAGGACTGTTTCAGGGCTGGAGGCATAGCTATAGAATCCCATCCGCTATTTAACCTCTCATGGGAATGGCAGAATCATTCCTGAAAAGGGGGTGGAGAGGTGGTGGCCTGCCTCAATCCTACGGTTAAAGAAACAAACATGAATTCTACACGACATGCCCTGCAACCTAGAACCAAATCCTCTGGCTCTGAGCCTGTATTTACTTTACCAGACTCTACTGCATACAAACATACGCTTCTCTTTTCTTTTCAACCTATATAATCTGTGAATAGAGAAGCTGCTGGTAAAATGAGTTTGATTTCCTCTTCTGTGCATTGAAACTTACATGCTCCAAGGGGGCAGAGGTCTCCAAAGACCGTCGATTATGAGTTACATATTCTAAGACGACCTTCTACTTATTCCTCAGAATTAAATTTGTAGCCTCTTTAGCCAAATAAGGTGAAAAAGAGGAATGAGAACATTCTCAGGTAATGGGAAGGGTATTATATAATATCTACAAGCTTCTAAAATCCAAGTGCTTTACTGCTTAGTTCAGTAAAGCAAGACGGTTATGAGAAATCAGAGGACAAGGGATCATCACCAGTATGAGGGAAAAAAAGGAAATGAGTAGAGACTTCACAGATCACCTTACTTTTTCAAGAAAAGTGTCATTCTAAGGGGCTAAATAATCTGCCCATAGCTAACTGAAAAGGGGGCTAGGATAAAAATGTAAGAGCTTCTGCATTAAAAAGACAACACAGACAAAATGCTGGGAGAAACTGCCTAGCTTCCTCTTTCCTATAAATTACCTCATTCTTTATTCTACCCAATTAATGGCACATTTACTATTTTACATGAAGTTTAAATAAGCTCATGGATCTAATATTTCAGGCAAAACCAGATTAAAAGTAACCAACTAAAAGTTGGGTTTGCAACTTCAGAAACAGGAAGTCCACTTCAAGTGACAGTCAACCCTGAAGGAGGAGATTGAAAAGCCTAAAAGATATACTTTGTAGAGCATCTCAGTAATAAGAAATCATTCAGCTTAGTGGCAAGCAGTTCTGTGCCACAGCGAACTTCAGGTTACCACTGGTAATTGCACACTTCAACAAGCAGCATTCAAACATTTAGAAGGAAAGACGTTGGTCTGTAAGATAAAGCGTTCATTATGTAGGGCAGTGCTGTCCAACGGGACTTCCCGCAGCGATGGAAACGCTCTCTGCGCTGTTCACTTGGGCAGGTACGAGCCACACAAGGCTACTGAGCACTTGAGATGTGGCTGGTGTGACTGAGGAACTGGACTTTTAACCTGAATTAATTTAAATAAATTAACTTTTCCCCTATTACTGAAGAATCAAAATCTAATAGCCACCTGTGTCTGTGACTACCAGACAGGATCTAGAGAATTCACCCAGAGGAAGTCTCTCTTCTTTATAGGAAGCTGGATATGTCGCTTTAATAAGAAATTTAAGAACTTTAAGACTCCTTAAATGAGTGGGGACGAAAACTATATAACATGAATGGAAATCACTGTTCTTTGGCAAAAACATGCCCAATACATTTTCAAAAGACCCATGAAATTCAGGTTCAATTTGCTGAAATTTAATAGCACATCTTATACTTCCAAACTGATAAATACTTACACATTGTCCTCTAGGCAGATTTTGGGTCCCACCACATTGGCAGCTCCACTTGCCATTTTAAAAGCAAAATGCTTCTCAGGACAAGCTTTTGAGATCCCACATTTATATCTGGGAGGTTTTGTAGCTTCGGGAAGAAAAATATTCTTTTAAGAAAATAACAATAATGGACTCTGTAATCAGTTTGTTTCATAGCTCAAACCACAAAGGGCATTATGCAAAACACCAAGATACATGTATCTTAAAATACATGCTAGGTTTTTTTTTCTTTTTCCTGAGGGTTTCAAAGAATCTCAAAACAAAACCAAAAACAGAACTTCTTAAGAAACAAGCTAATAATTAACATAAATGAAGCAAGTAATATGATCTAGATGAGGGTAAATATATTTTATCTAATTATTTTTAGGCTTATTTCAAAAATTCAGGATGGGGAAGGTTTTGAACTGTTACTCTGCATTTCCAGTGCGTGTACACACAGCAAATGGACAGTAAAAAGCCTGCTGCGTCACTGGGTACCTGCTCAGGACCAGTTCTCACTAGGGGTTCTCCTTACATGCTTTCTGTACATGTGATACTGAAGCTAAAACACATTAATGGGAGAAAATATCCATCATAAATAAATACTAAAATACTGAGCTCTCCAATCAAATAGCATCCTTATAACTAGAAAGAATAATTTCCAAAATCAGTTTTGCTCACGTTGAACTACATTCATTGTTTAAATAGAAGTCCTCCTATGTCTAAGATAAAACAGAATAAACCCCCTGGAAAATACTGAGATGAAATACTTACAACGTGCAGCTGCATCCAATGCAGACCTTGCTAAGGGGGAAAAACAAAGTTTCTCTGTTATAAAAGGAGTAAGGCTACTGGCAAGTATCACTTTTAAACATAAGTGAAGCTAACAGACAGGTCTATAAAAATGTGTTTAAGTTATCGCTTACTATACAATAAATAAAACATGAATATCACTATAGAGATAAAGTAAGAAAGTAACTTGAAGCTACATAATTCATTACAACCAATTATGTAGAGGAATTACGGAGGGCAGTATTTTATTACTGACTGAATATTTTATTTTTACCTTTACAGTTTTAGTTTTAGTTATCATAAATGTAAATCCCAATCAGAAAGTTACTCTACAAGCTTAACTTTTTAAAATTAATTTAAAAAATTTTTCCCAGCTCTCTTGAGACACAGTTGACACATAACATTGTGTACATTTAGGTGTACAACATGTTGATTTGATGTATTGGTAAACTGCAAAATGATTACCACTACAGTGGTATATATAGTAGTAAAATGCCATACCACTATAGTACCAGCTACCACCTCCATCCCATCACATGCTACCATTTCCTTTTTGTTTGGTGAGAACATTTCAGATCTACTCTCTTAGCAACATTCAAGCATATGATACCGTATTATTAGCTATAATCACCACATTGTACATTCCATTCCCAAACTTGTTAATCTTATAATTGGGAGTTTGTACCATTCAAGCAATGTCTCCCCATTACCGCCACTCCCTCCAATTTTTAGTAACCATCATTCTGTTCTTCTCTCTCAGTTTGTCCTTTTTAGATTCCATATATAAGTGATATCATACAGTATTTCCACTTTCCTTCAAATGACTTTAAATACATACTTGGTGACTATTAGAGTGTTTAAAAGTTGTTGTTGCTGTATGGTGTTGTGCATAGAGATTTTGGGGGTGGGAAGAGGGATGGTGGTGACAGAGAACTTTAATTTCTCTAAAATAGAAATGTGTTGGGTGTAGTTAAAAAAAATAAAGTCATTACTAAGAGTTCTATAATTTATCAGTTCAAGTAAACCAGAATTTTCTGATCAAATCTTAACTTGAATGCAGTAGATCTCAACCTGGCCATCTACTCTTAGAGCTTTATTTAAAAGCTCTAACATTGGATCCCAGCCCAAGAGATTGCAATTCGGATCATCAATAGTACTGCAGACAGCCAGTTCCTGATTTGGCTAATAAGTATGCGGTGTCATAAGTGTTTGCCAGCTGTTTGACTATAAATAGTCACTTAGCTTTTCGTTCTGTACTATTTTAGATAATTGCGAATTTCCTGTAAAACCAGTACTCAAACTAGAGAACAGAATGTTAAAGCTGAAAATAATATGCACGTGTTTAAAAAGAGGGAAATCACTAAGTAAATAAAGGTTATTACAGAACACTCAGAATATCATGCACCATTGAAGTCATAAAGGCAATGTAGTAACATGGGAAAAGTTTAACGCATGAAATAATACAGAAAACACACTTTTTGTGAGTAATAAAAGATATTCATGGGTAAGGACAAAAGCCTGAAGGAAACAAAAAATGATCAGTTAGTGAATCAGGGTGCTGGGATTACTGGGGCTCATTCTTTCAATTTCCTTAATTATGTCATACAAGGGAAGAATAATTCCAGGGATCATCTGGCCCAACGCTTTCACTTTTCTAAATGAGAAAACGAAAGTCGGAGAGTGATCAGCAACCAGTGATTAGCAGCATGAAGATCAGAAAGTCTCAGTACCACTTAGACATAAATAAACACGTAGCATCAGGCTCTGGTGTTAAGATGCTTACGGAAGAACAGCGTTCAAACAGGAATTCTGGTATACCCAACTTATGGTAGGCAAACGCAGGGAAGACAGCGAGATCAGAACGGGGTAAGTTAACAGCTCATTCACATATGCTGGGCACTCTCAAAGTACTTTTGCACATATGGTTGATTTGCTCATCACCTCTGTTTTAAAGAGAAAGAAACTGAGAACAGACAGGTTTGCTGACTGGACTTGTTCTATGCATAATCAGTCACTGGCAGAGCTAGTTCTCAAAGCCACATCTCATTCTAGCACCGAAACTCATAACGCACCACCCTCAAAATGGGAATGTCTGAGGTCTCATGATCACAGGTATAGCAACCACTAGCCCTGCTAGAAGCAGGAAGCCAGCGTAGCGAGCTCTTAAGACCATCCTGCTGACTGCAGAGCGGAGAGCAGACTGCAGAGGGTTCAAGACTCGAGACAAGAAGGCCACAAGGACAAGGATGCTGCCGAAGTGATCCTGCTGAAAAAGAGCAGTAGCCTGAACAAAGATATGACTGTGCATCTGAAAGAAGCAGACAGGCTCAGAACCACCAAGGAAGCAACACCGGCGGGACGTGGGAATGGACTAGATGGAGGGGTGATGGAAAGGGAGGAATCAAGTTTACCTCTCAGACATTTGCTTTTGGAAGCATTCATTTATCCATTCACACGAGACAGACGACAAAAAGACCGTCTCCGCACTCAAGGGGTTTGTCATCTAGGGAGGAGACGAGGTGTGGGATGGGTGATGAGTTCTCTGCTGGACCTGTTCATTTTAAGATACTTGGAGAAGGTCTGGGTGGACAAGCCTAGAAGCCAGCTGTAAGTGAGATCTGGGATGAGGATGCAGACTGGAAAACTGGCAAGCGAAGAGGCCGTGCAAAGGGAGGATTTAAAGTGAAGAGAGGGCTGGGGAGAGAAACCTGAGACCCCAGTCATCAGTACTGCTCAGAGGAGGGCGTGGCTGAGGAAAAGGAGGCAGGAGGAAAGCCAGGGACGAGCTGTCTGAAACGGTCAAAATGGGTTGTTTGTAAAACTTAAGATACATTAATACATAACAAATGCTACTCAAAAACCTTCATTAGGATATCATCTGGGGTGAACTTTCTTAGTCATCAGGCCTTTAATTTTAAGTAAATAACATCACCTCCATTTAATTTGTCTAAGAGTAAGGGGAAAAGATGCTTAAAGAAAACAAGAAACATCTTGTGGAAAACTTTTCAGGTTAAAACTAATTTTATCCAATATTCCTCAAAAGCAAAAGCCCTCCATTTGGCCTGCAATTCTGAGAATGTTAACACCTGGAGGCCAAACAGATACATTTTCATAAATAAAACAGGATGTTTTCCACATGTGGAGCACGGGCACAATATACAAGCACAAAACCCTCTCCTTTTCTGTCACGTCCATCCTGAAAATACCTTGGTAGCTTTAGTTTTTAATGCCTTTCAAAAAATACAGCTTTTCACTTCAAGGAACAATAATAAACATTTCTGATTTGATTTCATCAATGAATGTCTTTCAACAAGTCTGGCTAAAGAAATCGGTAAACTACCTTGTACTTTAGTTTTTAATAATATCTCAAGTAATTTATGCACATACTACTTCAATGGTTTAAATCTGAAAGGTAAAAAAAAATTAACTGAAGGAAACATCAAGTACTTACTGCAGCAATATATGCAAAAAATAATTTGACTGTTTTCAGTACATTTGCCAGTTGTTAAGTATTGATGTTGAAAACTAACAAAATGTTAAACCACTATCAGTCATAGCTAAGACTGGTACCCACCCTGATACACTGGTGTGACACTGCATATGGTCTTATATGAGAAACTGAGAAAAGGTTATGCAGGATCTCTCCAAATTATTATCATTTTTTTTTCACTAATGCATGTGAATCTACAATTATCTTGAAATAAAATGTTTTGTTAAAAAATTGTTTAAAAAATCCCAATCTAGTTTGGTAATTTCAATTATTAACTGCAGGCAAAATTTTTCATTCTTCCTTTCTAGAAATGTTTGTCTTATTTTTCTAGAACAGTACTATGTAATCAACTCAAATTCAAATTTATAGAAATTATCAAGTAAAGATGAAGAAATGGAAAAATTCATCACCAAAAGAACCATAGTTAATCTCATGGGTCTCCTTAAGACACTGATTATAGAGTTAATCAGTTGAGTTAAACTTGTTACCCTTTGGTAAATTAAATTAGATGCTAAACAAACGGCAAAGACAACCATGTCTCCATCTTGGCTCAATTATTCCGAAATAACAATTAAAAGCAATCACACAAATTAAATTTTCACCAATTCAATAAACTGGAATCCAATGAGGTCTTGCGGATAGAGTATGACTTCAGTTATGACAACAAAGTAAACCATCTGCTCTAAGGATGCCTACATTAAACAGCTAAAACACACACAATAAAAACCGGCAGGGTCCTAACATCAGGAAAAATCAGAATGAAATTTAAGAGACAACAATCCTAGTTAAGGTAGTTCAGAGTTTGTTCATTGCTGAAGACCAATGGCTTGTCAACTAACACAGCTTTAAATGAAAGCTTTGAAAATACTCTTCCTCCCCATGTAAAAATCCTAGTCCTCAATTACCTACATTCATTTTTCCATTCAGTCAGCATTCACTGTCTACAGGACTCGGCTGGGAGAGCAATCAGCAGGAGTCGAGGCTGAGGTATCAAAGGACAGGACAGGGTTTGTGTCTGCAGTCCGTGTGCATCCGAGCAGAGCGAGTACGCCCACAGGGAGGTGGGGTGGGGGGCGGAGAACAGGTGGAAAGGCAGAGACAGGAGGGGGCTTTGAGTGCCATCCCAAGCAGAGAGTTTAGATTTTACTCTCCAGCGATTAGAAATGCTGAAGGTTCAAGAGTTTTCAGAGAATCTCTCTTGAGAGTGGTGAGACAGGCAGGTGTCAAAGGTGACATACAGACACAGGCACATCCCTGTGATGTCCGAATAAACAATCCAGCCTAGAGATGATGATCCAAACCAGGGGAACCCCGTGGCCTGGATTCCGGCCACTTCTCTTGGAAAACAGCGGGCCTTCCTCCAAAGTCGTTTTCCTGTTTGCACCGACAGTCCTGTTGCCTCCCTTCCCTCAAGAAGCCTCCGGTTCTTGTCTGTTCACTCACCTCCCACTGATCTGTAATTCACTGACTCTTTGCCCAAGGCCTACGGACAAGTGAAAGTCTCGCCATTACTTCAAAAAAGAAAAAAAAAATGTTCCACTTGCTTCTGTCTCAAGCTACCATCCCATAACCTTCTTCCCTTACCATCAACCTTTCTTAGAAGAGTTACAACACGATGTTTCCACAGCAACACTGAACAAGTCCTCAATGCTTTCCTGGTTTTTCTGCGCCATCATTCCACTGAAACCAGGTGTGCTCTCCAAGGACCCGAGGCTGGCCCCTCTGCAGTAACGGAAGTATGCAGCCCAGAAGAAGTCAAGAGAAGCCTCACAGCACTTCGCAGTAACTGCGCTAGGCTCTCTCTTGGATTCTTCATTCTAAGTTGGGTGCCAAAAAACAGCTCAGGAGGAGAATAACCAGTATGTTAAGAGGAATGGTTCAAAGGGAGGATTTTATAACTGGGTAAGATGAAAACGTATAAAAAGATGCCCTGAGGGAGTATGTATGACCGCTCCTGAACTACTTGAGAGATCATTAATGTGGAAGAAGCCCCAGCAGGTAGAAGCAGGATCAGTGGACTGAAATTACTTGGGAGTATAAAAGGCAGAATTCAGTGCGACACAAGTACTTGTAAGCAGTCACTGTAAGAAAAGTCACCTGAAAATGCACAGAAATGAAAATTCAGAAATTGACAGCTACACGCCCGAACCGTCTCCAGCCTTGATGCTCAGTATATGGAGCAGATAGGACACTCAGCTTCCCACCTGGGCGCCTGTCAGGAATGCAGACTCCCAGGCCCCGTCAGGGACACCAACTCAGAATCTGAATTTACCAAGATTCCCTGGAGGTTCCTTTCACCTTAGAGACTGAGAAGCACTGGTGAAGGGAGTCTTAAAACTAGATGCGAGAGGGAGTGTATTAGGTCTTGGGGAGCCCTTCCAAATATTAATTTATGGAAAGCAAAACTCACTGTTCCAGAGATCTCCAAGGTGTTTCATCTGATTCCTATCTCCTGCATCAAAATACTATTTCTAGATTACTCACCTTTCAATGAGTAATTTTTTTTAGTACTTTCATCAATGCTCAGCCAAAGCCTATTCAAATATTTCAAACGTTGACTTATTTTATTAACTTAAAAACTTAATTTTGTTTAAAACTGAGTTAAGGCAGCTTACAATGGTATATTTACAACATAGCATTAAATAAAGTGGTGAAAAAAAAAAGAGTTGCAGAAGGAAAATAAGGGTAGGAAAGCAAGATGGATTTCTATGACTGGTACTTAAAATGCACTGTCATAACTCCTGACCACTTGCTAATTGAGAGTCAGATTTGATTCCAAGTGTTCAAGCAGCCAACTCAAATAGGGTGTGACATCCTCTGCAATGTGCATTTAGAATGCCATGATTAGTGTCCCTACGCATGCACAAAATAGGCACCATTAAATATACTCAATGTTGAATATAAGATTCATGCTTTAAAATGAATTAACTGTAAGGTTTTCTATTGTTTATTTTAGAATATTCTAATGAGTCATACTTAACAATATAATTAAATTTTCTTTTCTAGATAGACTAAACAGCGTGACTCAATGTTGATAACTATTAAAAATTCAAAGACCATCTCATCAAAAATAAAATTTAAGAAAGGGAAAAAAAATGAAACTTACCAAATAGATTTCCTAAACTTGCATCCATTTTTATTTCAAATACTTGCGATATAACATAGAATGTCAGTAAAAATACTGCCACAGCTACCACCAACTTTGCAGCACCTAAAGGGCAGAAAGAGTTCAGTATGAGCTTATGAGCCCACAGAACTTTAACTATACACTTCCATGAAAAATGTAAGTTTATTTAAAAAACTCTTCAGACTAATAAATAAATTTCTACTTCTTTTTTAGGGGATCTTAATTTTACTTGTGTTACAACAAAAACTGTATCAACAATCCATCAAGATAAAGGATTTTCCTGATCAATGAATTATCAGATGGGCTAGCAACCTAGACACAGGAGTGCGTGAGTCACCTGCCTATAGTTCTCACAACTGAAAAAAAAAGTGACCTGCTATCAACTGCTGGCTGACTACACAGGAGTATAAGCTAATGGACCACCACCACCAAGTGTATGGGATAATGCGTTCCCAATCCTTTTCAAATATGAAGGGCAATACGACACAGAGATGATACACAAACACTCGACCTTCCGCAGACAGTAAGGCAACAGACCAGGATGTCCACTCAGCAAGGAATTCTCAAGCGCAATGTAACAAGTTTACTGTCCTCACCAATCAATGTATCTCTTGGAGAACAGAGATGCTCCTGTTGTGGTGAACCACAAAGAATCTCCCCTTATACTTAATACCTAAGTTTAAGACAGGCCTTCTCCACTCCTGGAGGACTTAACTGGCATCCATCATGTACGTATGCCTTGTAACTGGTTGCATGGTAAGCTCTGTGAAGACAGACTCTTAGCATTCCATACTTTATATCTTTTAACCGTTTCTGAGGGCCTTAGAAACAGCACTGCTAGTAACAAATTATAACATCTATCACCACATGTCTTTTTTCTCTACAGCTAAGGAAATCAAAGAAAGAAAAAAAATACAAGATCGGAAAGGAAATGAAAAACGGCAGGAAAGAAACATCATCTTCCTACTCTTAGAATTTCAGAGCCATCTCACTTTTCACTCAGGAACACTGTTAATATTCGTCTGGATGACCGCCATTCCCGACACAGCCCAGGCTTTGCACAGTATTCCACTAACACCAAATTACCACTGTCTCTGAAGAAACTGCCAAAACTCAACTTACTCGGTAAGAAAGAGTAAAAAAATGCACTGTGTTCGTCCTAATTCATAAACCTAAAGAGACCAGGACTGCATCCTACAGGGAGGGAAGTGAATGAACTGATGGTGCTCAGAGAGGCGGAGGATGCTGACAGCTACTCATTTCTACTCAGAAACAGTCTCTGAATGTAGAAATGGGATGGCAATGAGGAGGCCCGAACAATGAACTAAACAGTCCCCACCCCCACCTCCTGTGTCTTACCTTCTCACCCTCCAGAAACTGCTTCCTGTTTTCAAGAATGATTGCAGGTCATCTGCATTTTTAGTGCATGAGAGTAAAATTCCATTAGGCTTTGAACTCTTCCCCTACAGGATCTAGCAGGGTGCCTTGTACATAGTAATACTCTCAACAAGTATTTGCTAAACAGATGAATGGTTAACAGGTGGCATATTCCTTCTTGATCATTTAAGATCAAGGGTTGGAAGATTATTTATCACATGATAGTCTTAAAAATCTCATTTTCTAGCAATCATGGGCATGTGCAGATAGTGATCATCTTTCCCTGTCCCTTAAAGCAGACGTATGAAACCTTTGTTGTTCAAGACTGAAATTTTAAAATGATTAAAATGCCAAGTTTATAATACATGACAGTTGTAGACTAGATTCAATAGCAAGCTAAACCTCAGGCTACACTAAACTATCTATATACACCATGTATACAAATATATACATAAACATAAAAACACACACACACCGTTTACTCAGCGCCTACTAAGGAGCTAACTGCTTCATAAGCATAATCTCATTTGTCCAGCCTTTCAAGATACTATTTTCATTTTACAAATAAGGAGAACACAGTCAAAAATTTGGATCACTTGGCTAAGGTCACAAAACTAGGTAGTGGCAGAACTTAGTCTTATACCAAGACCTATTCAATGTTAGGAAACCATCAAAAAAACAAAAACAAAAACAAAATGAGGAGGAAATAAAAGCTCAGAGAGAGAGAGAAGTTAGAGGTGAAGAAAGTAACTGGTAACAGGACAAGCAGAGGGTCCCTGAGAGGGGCAGGCAGAGCCTCCATAAGGTGGGGTTCTGGAAGTTCTGTTTCAGGGGCTCCCCTGAACCATCACCATCCACTTCCGGACTGGAGGGGCCTGACCACGGCACACCACAGTTCCCACTCCGTCCATGAGATCCCCTCCTCCTTCCGGCCATGGACTGCACTAATCTGAGTGTGTCCCCATTTTTCACAAACCAATAAGCACAAACACTAGATACCGATGTCTCACCATGAGAATAATGGCTATAAGGATATCCAGAGCAAGCAGGATCTTTTTTTTTTAATTAGAAGAGATTCATTAGTCCAAAAGCAGTAAACTAATAGCCAGTCTTCCCAGTTCCTTCACTAAATGCAGTTCCCTTGAGACCTATACTAGGAAAGTGCCAAATACAAAAGAAGCACTCACTCAGTGAATAATTATCCATCAATTAATCTTGAAATTAATTGTCAGAATCAGAGAAATGGACTAGATGACAAAGTTAATGTCAACTAGAATAAATGTAGAATTGTAGTAGAAAGAAGAACTTGGCTTTGATTATTTCAAATCACCATGCTTAATTAATTTACCTTTCAGAACCATACTTTTAGAGATGTTCCCCTAGGAATATTTTGTTTGCTGGTGAGAACATGGTAATTAAAAGAAAAGACTATCCTGATTTTGAGGAATGACAAGTTATCTCCTATGATGGACACACAACACTTAGTAGAAATTTCTACATGAAAGTGTACATTTCTCCTCAGGCCATGGCTGTGCTGCAGGAGGGGTGGGCGGAGGGCCCACGTTTATTTTCACTATAGACAGAAAGAGGTCTCAGCCTCTCTGGTTAATTGATGGATCTGCCTTTTGATCAAGATCTGCCTTTTGCCTTAGGAACAGATGTCCTTGCATGTAACCTCACTTGTACAAACTGAACTTGAACTAGCAAATACAAGAGTCATTTAAGCAAAACTCATTTTACTGAATCCTTTACATACACTAGTTTTAATTTGAGTGCACACATAGGAAAGATTTAGGCTTTTAAACTTCAAAACTTATTTTTCTCAACAAGCTAGAACTTAGCATAAACAAAAACCAGTCTCTCTAAATTGTCCAAATTGTTCTTTATATGGACATATCTATCGTTAGGCAAACAAGCTTAATGTATAAATTACGTATAAGGACATAAACATTAAAAACCGTAACTCAAAATATTTAGCATAAATAATTTCAACAAAAGTGTCCCAAAAAACCTATGCAAAACTCACTAAGTGTCCAATTTGTGTCCAACTACATTAAAAAGCAAAAAGACTAAATAATAATTTACTCTGTCATATTCAGCTCACGCTCAATACAGAAAATGATTATTCATTCTCTCATTCAGTCATTACTAAACAAACAGGTTTCACAAAAAGCAAAATTATTTCTACTGACTTAAGTATCTTACCTGCTACCCTCATGTTTGGTTTTTCAGTCTGTGGCACTTTTCATTAAATAAGCTCCTAAAATGAAAAGAAAGGCAAACATTATTAGGTCTAGAATGAGCACTCCTCCCTAGATTGAGTCTGGTTTGGAGAGTACATATTACATTAACTAACTGTCATGACGTTTCTAAGTGTTCCACCAATATTAACATTTAAGGAAGCTGCCGTTAGCATCGGGCCCATCTCCTCGCCCCACCACAAAAGCTCCTGAGAGGAGGGTGTGTCTGAGCCTGCCCTGTCCCTGCGCTCCCTCAGTGAGGGAGCTGCTGAGGGGAAACCTGCCCTCAAAGCATGTGGACAGAAGATAATGCCTGACAGTTCTCGGTGATTATGCATCGTAAGAGACTTGTGGTATTTAGTTTCAAACCTTCAGTTTTCGGAGGGGGTCTAAAGAGGTTAAGCTGCTTATCTAGTCAGGGAACAAATGACTTGTAGGAACGGGGCGAGGACCTCAGTCGGCCGCCTCCAGGGCTCACTCCAGGGTCTGGATGCCACAGTGGCTTCAGCACGGTTAGGATTCAGGGGTCACTGTGATAAACGCTCACAGGAAAGGCACCTCATCTTAATACCAGGGTCTTCATCCTCTTCATGTTTTCCACTGAAGTTTGTGAAAGAACATATCCAGAGGCACAGAATTGCAATTTTAAATATTCCAGCAATGATCATTATTGACAGTGTATGTTATCCATCAAATCAAGAAACCATATTTTGATATTATTCTAACAAGAAATAGATGCTGGAAAAAAAATCTGTGTACATGTTTGCGCGTTTCGTCCCTAAGAAATAACTCAAGATAGGTGAAATTTTAAAAAGAAAATGGAAAAGCAACCATATGAGTTAGGTAGGAAATTCATGCTCAGGTTCAGCCAGACAGCTTCCATGGTCTATTCAATCTATTGTACAAGAAAGGAATGCAAAAGAAATTTTTGATTAATGAATCACATCAATCAAAAAATATATTTCTTTTAGACTGCATTTTAATACTGACATTTCAATGCTGATGTCTAATCTAGTATGCTAGATTCATTGAATGCTTCAAATAAAAACAACGCCACACCTCTGAAGGACACTGAGAGAAATGAGAAGTCCAGTTTTCTTATTCACCAACAAGGAATTAGCAGGGGTTGGGGTGGTGAGCCTCTGAAGAATCAAACTCCCTTCTTTCTGCCCAATCCACCCTGAAGAAAATACCAACATTTAAACTAACACTGAACTGAGCATTATTGATTTCCTTTCCTTTGTTAGTTATCTGAACACTTTCCCATATGAAAAGCCAATGCCACGTATCTATTTAAACTAACAACTTAGCCACAGGCTAGGTAGGAAAACACTAAAAGGAAACAAGAGTTACTGAAGCCACCACATAAAAGCAGAAAAAACAAACAAACCAACAAAACAAAACAAAACAAAACAAAACAAAACAAAACAAAACAAATCCCTCAGCTTTTCTAATGAAACCCCAGCTGGTTATAAATACTTTTTTGACTTTCTGCAAGACTGAACACTATGTTCACAACACACACACACACACACGCCTTTCCTCCCGGCTAATCTCCCAGGATAATTTCTTTGGAAGTGTGAGGAGCAGTTGGGCAGACACCTGCTGCTCTAGTTCACTGTTTCCACAACCTGCCAAGGAGGCCACGCCTGTGCAGTTACAGACACTGCCTCACCGTGCGGCCCTTTCTGGACCACTTAGTAAGCCTGCTTCTAAACCCACCACTCGTGAGACCCCCATACAAGCACCTACAATGGTTGAGCTGAATTCGGGTTTTCCATTCAGTTTCTCAGAGAATAACATTTTAGTGAAATCTCAGCCACATCACACTTTTAATTAGTATGCTTAAGAAGCAAATGAATGATGCGAGAGTGTAAATCAGCTTAAGGAAAGAGTACTGAATACATTTTGAGAGCAAATCAAGGAGCATCTGAACAAGTTCATACTGTATAGCACAGGGAACTGCATTCAATACCTTGTAACTTATGGTTTAAAAGAATATGAAAATGAACATATGCATGTTCCTACATGACTGAACACCAGAAACTGACACATTGTAAACTGACTATACTTCAATAAAAATATATTTAAAGGTGGGGGGGGGCATCTACTTACTATGTGCTATTTCCAAATCATTCCCAAACTTGTCTTCTTAGGAGGAGACTAAACACAAAGAAAAAAATCTTTAGATAGAATCATCCTGGGGGGGTGGGGTGGGCGGGGGATAAACCTTAACAGCATCTGGTATGAACCTTAATGAAACTCTGACAATCAAGCTGTGATAGAACAGGTCCAGAAAAAACGAACACAACAATGAAAGCAGGAAAAGGGGCCTCGACTGGAGATTCAGAGCTCTTTAACTCAGAGGCAAAAGGTGAAAAGAATTTATGTTTGTTCATTAAAAAGTAGACGCATAGAAACTAGAGCCATTTACCAAAACAAAAATTCAGGTGGTGGGAGGAGAGTGTTTCCATGAAAGATTTTAAAAAATAAAATAAACTGACAGTGTATCTATGAAATACATCTGCCCCCGCAAAATGTAGTATAGGTCAAAACAAGTCCCAGTGTTTTAAAGATAAATGACTGAAGCAAATCAGATTGCTCATGTGTCAAGCTCACAGTCACCTGAGAGTCTAGTGCAAGGAGGGCCACCCTGACACCCCTGTGAGACAGCGTTCTGGGTGAATGCCAAGCCAGTGACCCGGCCTGAAGAAGAGTGCCTAAGTTAGGCTCTCAGATGGACATACCAGATTTCTGTGACTTTCTTATAATTTAAACATTTCCTTTAGCCCAACTGTCTACTTTGGTCTAATTCAATGAAGTTTTATTAAAATCAGGTCTGAACAAACAGGCACGTCCTAGTATCAGTCACCTGCAGGACAACAGATAAAAACACTGGCCAAGTGATACTTTCATTCTTTCCTTCAGAAGTGGACTCGAGCGATTTCAGGTGAATTACAAGAACACCATTCTGTATCAACAAAATAAGCTATAAAAACATTTTTTTTTCAACCAGGAGGGAAAGGTTTTGTCAGTCAACAAAAGCTAAGTAATAATGCAAACTGCAGAGCAAGTCACACATTCTAATTTTATGTAATCTTCCCAACAGCCCTATGACATTATGGATGAGGTCAAGGGATTTGTCCAAGGTCATATGAAGGGTAAGAAGATGATACTATAAACAAATCCACTTCCCTTTCACCCCAGTAGCTCACTGACATGCTCCCAGAAGTCTGTTGACAAAATTCCATGCCAATCAATTTGGCTTTTGCAAATTGCTCTGGAAATCGCTAATCTCTCCTGCCAACTAGCCACTCTAAGGCTCTGATGGTTTGTCAGAATGACTAAGCATATGAACTAGAACACTCGTCTGAGACAGAAACGATACAGCAAAGTGAAGTGTACAGACACACTCACTGATATATTTAATATTAACAAACAACAATTGCTGAATTAAACATTACAAATTATACTCCACAAATATAAAGAAACTATCACCAATTCAATCCAGCTTTAACTCAGTGCTGGCAAAACGGTGGTGCAGGGGAACAAAATATGCCACCCCAAAATGTCTCTTTGGCATGTTGATTATTTCGAGTTGGAAACAATCAAGGCCCGGAAGACTCTCTGACCTCCCCTCTTCGCTGCCTACAGAACTTAGACAAAAGGCCTATGACAGGAAGGGGGCTATCACTGTAGACAACTATGTATAAAGTAGGTGTGCAGACAGGGAGGAACCTAGCAGTTAGAATTCCCCTACTGTCCCATTCCCCAGCAAACATTTACCAAACATCTGCTTTTCCAACTCCATGTGAATTGCCTTCCTCCCCTCTGAAGTCCCAAACCACCACCCCAACATCCGCCCTCTTTTGTCTTTAGCTCAAGACAGCGTTTAAGGTGAAAGTTTTGGTCATTTTGGCAAGCTTCTCAGTTTTCCTGGGTCTCCCCCGTGTATACATGTTATTGAACTTTTGTTTGATTTTCTGTTCATCTGTTTCACGTTAATTTAATTTTAGACCAGTCAGAAGAACCCAGAAGGGCAGAGGAAAATTTCCTCCTCCTGGACAGCAATTTTAAATGAACCAACTTAGTGAAGTACAGACGATTCTAATATTCACGTGAACTGGGGTTTTTCAAAAGGACTAAGGAAAAAAGATCAAAGCGCAAGCAAATGGATCTAAAGTATATTTAGGCCCAGTGATGGTTAATTTATACATGTCAACTCTGCTGGGCCAGAGTGCCCAGAGACTTGGTTACACATTCTGGGTGCGTCTGTGAGTCTTTCTGGATGAGATTCACATTTGAGTAGAGCAGTTTGCCCTCCCCAAGTGAGTATGTCTTGTCCACTGTGTTGGGAGGCCTGAGCAAAGCAAAAAGGCTGAGTCAGGCAGCAGTGGCTCTTCCTGCCCAGTGTCGTTAAGCTGGGACATCGGTCTTCACCTGCCTTCAGACCTGGACTGAAATGTACACCATGGACTTCTCCAGGTTCTCAGGCCTGCAGACTTGGACTGGAACTGGACCACTGGCTTTCCTGGGGCTCCTGACTGCAGACCCTGGGACTTATCCTCCATGGTCACAGCAGCCAATGCTTTGTGACATTTATCTCACTGAGACACGTATCTCCAATGGGTTCAGTTTCTCTGGAGAACCCAGACTAATACACGGCCCCCTCAGGATCAGAATGCAAGAGACCAAATTTTCAGTCCCAGAGCATTAAAAGAAAGAGGAAAATAACACAATACTGTAATCAAAAGGATGCTGCAGCTAAAACATCACAAGCTAAAAAATCACAAGCATACATTATTCTAATATTTACAAACAAAAGTATGGTATTTAAAGAAAATGATTTGCAAAAAAATAACTGCATTTATGTAAAAATAGAGCAAGTGCTGCCAGCTTTCCTTCAAGGGCCTGATGGTAGATGCTTTTGGCTCTGTGACCCACACAGTTTATCTCAACCACTCTGCTCTGCAGCTGTAACTGGAAAGCAGCCACAAACAATGTGAGAACAAATGGGCCC